TAGTATGCCAGTACCTGTTGCTCTCAAATCAACACACACACACACACACACACACACACACAAAATGTCCTTCTAAAACTAAGTTTAATTTATAAAATTACACACAATTAAGTTTCCTAATACTAAAATAAACAGATCTTAGTATACTATAGTTGAAACTAAATACGAGTTCTAAACAAAAAGTTCATAGTGAAAGGAGCCTTAAGTAATGGTTAGAGTTACCAGTTACAGCACTGGCTTTAGAATCAGCCAGCCTAGGTTCATATTCCAGTTCTGCCGTTTACTACACCATTAAAAAGCTTTATGGATATCTATCTATATAAACAGACAGACAAATATCCTCTTTTTTTAAATGGAGATAATATTCATCATAGTTTGCTAATAGGACTAAATAAGTGGCACATAATAAAAAATGTTAGCTGTTTAATTACAATTACATTGCTAATGATGTCAAATGTCATATGTTTTAGATCCTTCATGGAAAAAAGGGGAACAGGTCTTGAATTTTCTCTGAAAATAAACTATTTCTAGTTAAGTTTAGTAACCTCCTGAAGAATACTAAAGAAGTATATTTGCAAGTCAATTACTTAAAAATAAAAGAATTTATAATGGAGCTATTCTTCATCCACAATCTAATTTCATCACTGCTACTTTCCTCTTGGGAAAAGAAAAGTGTAAGGTAAAGAAAATGTCAGCTTTTTCTGAGTAGGTCTATATGGCTACAAAGTTCAAGATTACTGTTTATTTCTTGTTAATGAGAAACTGGATTCTTACTGTCAGACTTTTTACCCATGCTTTCCCTCACTATCAACTAATATTTTATGTATTATATATTTCAACCAATGTAATATTGTATTATTATTAATAATACATATTATTTGCTTCTTGAACACAGGTCTCTTATCTAGTTCACCTCAAATTGAAGAGTTAACACTGTAAGATCTGCTTCATGTGATGCTTTAGAAAAATCCTATATATTCAAGTTATTTATTATTTAGTCAAGCAGTAACACAATTCAGTTTTTCTTTTTAAATTCAAACTTAGTGCATGAGCACGCTCAATTTCATAGCACATTTTTTTCAATTACAATTAATCTTCACAATGCTGAATATTCAGTAAAAATATTCAACCTGTTAAGAGCCTATAAAAAAAATATGAACACTTGGGTCCTAGACCCTGAGATTAGTCTGGTTAGACAATTGGACAATGAGTGTTCCTGTACTATAGTTACACAAAATGGAATAACTGGGTGAAAGGTACAGGGGAATTACCTGTTTCTTGCAAGTAAACTATAATTACATTGGAAGGAAAAATAGAACTTCCCCAAGTGATTTTAATGTGTACCCATGACTGGGAACCATAGCAGTAAATACTTTCTGATAATAATACTATGTTTTTCATAAAGATGTCTTAACTTGATCACTAACAGGAAATAAATGAAGTAAGTGCTTTTTAGTAACTTAATTTTACTGAGGTGTAACTTACACTGCCCATTTTAAGTTTGGTATATCCTAACAAAAGTGTACACTCAAGTAACTATCCCCTCAATCTAGAGAACATACCTGTTACTCCAAATGTCCCTCCTGAATTTTTGCAGTCAATTCCACCCTACCTCACCCTAGGAAAAGCCCTGAGATTTTAAGAAAATCTTTCTTAAAAATGGTTACATACCCTCTGAAGAAAATGTTCTTTCCATTTTGCTTTTTGAAGGTATTTATGGATTTCCTCTTAGAATACTATCTTCTTGACCTAAGCCTTAGAACATCCTTTGACTTACGCTTGCAATGTCAACAAAATAAAGTAAGCCAAGTTTCGAAAGAGGACTAGTAAATTCAATCAGGGTTAGTTAGTTCTTAATGTTTAAGACTTGGAAAAGGAAATTTAACAAATCTGTTATTAAGTTATCTTACCTACTGGGACAGAGATCTTTCTCTTCTTGAAGTTTGGCTTAAACACAAAACAGCCCTTTTAAAAGACAGAAAAAAAGAAAGGTATTGTCAAAGTAGCCAAGGAGCAGACAAATCTGATTAACCAAGAAATGTAAAGAAAAGCAAATTTTTATTAAAGGTGCTTCTGCAAAATGCTAAGAAATCATATATCTTCTATCTGAATTATAGAAGGAAAATTCTTAAACAAGGGAGCTACCCATTTCTTTTGCCACCTTCCCATGGGATGCTCATCTTTTCATTTTGTTTTCTGGGACCTGATCTCAGAGGCAAAGAAAATAAAGATTGATGAAATTTAAACCTGGAAAGGTTGCATTTTTATAAAACTAAGAGAAGAACATCAGTACTATTAATTAATATGAAGATCAAGAAAATAAAAAATAGTAATGATCTCCGATCTCCTAATTATTTAACTAGACTCCAAATACCTAGACCCTTGACAGGAAGTAGCTAATTTTGGCCAATGTTTTACTTTACTTTATCTTTCTTCATCTGATTAACTCTTACTTATTTATCCAATCCAGTTTGAATAAAACCCAACTACTCTGAGAAACCTTTCCCAATTCTCTAGTTAGAACTATTCCTTCCCCTAAGGTCTTTAATCTCCTAGGATGAAGATCTTTATGTGGCTGTTTTAAATGACTTTTACTGTATGTCATAGTTATTCAGGGGTTTACCTCCCCAGATATCTTGTAAACACTTTCAGAGCACAAACTGCATTTAATTCATAACTTTACCCAATGTTTAGGACAGTGTTAACATATACTTCAGGCAATTACCACGTAATTTTCCTGCATTTAGTTTTGTACTATTATCTGACTAGTGAAACACAGACTCCAAATTTCTAGTTCTATGTTTATTCTACAAACCCTAAAGCCAGACACCATGGACAGTTTCTTAAATATTGCCATTTCTATAGAAAATGAAAAATTATAAATGGAAAAAGTCCTCTTGGGGTAGTGCTAAAGACAGTTGTGCAAAAGTAAAGTGCTCATTTAAATTACAGAATACTGTATAAAAATTGTGACTTATACTCTAGTATCTGCACGTAGTAGTATTATTTGAAACATACATTTGTTTTGTAAAATTATGTAATACCATGAGAAATATGTCATTGCTTTCTTTTTATATTCACCTAAAATTCATAAAGGAAAAGAAGGAATAAAGGAGAAATGTAGAAGAGTGCCAGGAATGGGTCCTGATATATGGTGGAGGTAGTATGGTTAACTACTATGAAATATTGATTAAGAGATGGTGTTTGAGATGAAGGAAGAAGTCTAGGAGAGCCAACAACCAGAAAATACTAAAAGGGAAGAGAGCTTTAGGTAGGTTTTTAAGCTGGCAGTTCCATGAAACATTTCTCTAAGATTCTTATTTATGTGAGACCACCTCATGAGCATCTCACTATAAGCAGGTCCGTTATAATGTCTTAAGTTTTCCTTTAAAAAGTCACAATCCTGGAAGATGTACAAAAAATGAGGCTTATGCAATATAAAGAATGAGGGGAGAGATGACGCCAAACCTATGGAATTTTAAAACTAGGCAAATTGTCAATTAAAAACAGTACCATTCCTAATAAAAAATAATACTAGCAGTTAAAGTGCTTTTGGCATCTGTACCTACTACAATCAGTCAACTCTTTGTCACCTTAAATTCTAAGGCTTCTAGTTCCTCTTTGACACATGGACTTGGAAAACACAGCTTCTCTTAATTGTAATCAAAACTACAAATTAGATCCACCGGGTAGCCTCCTCATTAACCTACAGTTTTAACTAGGGAGAAAGTCTTGGCAGCATCTTCATTTGTATTTGCAAGTTTCAGATAGCAATTGCTTAATTTAAGAGACTTATGGGCTGCACTCATTGCTAAAAGTCTCACTTGCTTTGTAGCAGCATTATCAAACTATTATTATTTTGGTAATGACAGAAATATCACAGATCTGTACCAATATGATATCCAAGGTTACATGCAGCTAGTACAATTGAAGAACTTATATTTAATTTCACATTATTTTAAACTGAAATAGTCACATGCTGCCACCACATTAAGCCAATATTTATTCTCTTACCAAATACACTCTCACATCTTGCACCCTCTGATCATCTAGGCAACCCAAAGGAAGAGACACCTATCTCTTCACACACAACACACACTTTTTTATTCTCGTTTTTCCCTAACATTCCCTCTATTTCTGCTCTGGTTATACTGAGTTTTCAATTCCTTTAATATGCCATTTTATCTTTATCTTCTCGACCAAAGAACACGCCGTTCTATCTGCTAGACAGTCGCCTAATTATTAATTTGTCCTCATTTTTCAGATCTCACTTAAGTGTCACTTTTTTCAAAAGGCCTTCGTTGACCTCAGGCAATCACTATTAGGTTCTTATCGCTCTTCTGTCCGCTCACTTACAACTTTCTTTCTAGCTAACAATAGTCACAATGACCACTAGTGATTATCTGTGCTTCACGTGTTTTTGAACACAGAAATTAAGTATTATGTTTACCACAGTAACTCCGTAGCTAACGAAGTGCTCGGCGCACAGTAAATATTTATGAGGCGGGAAAAGGAGGGAAGACTAGGGCACAGCCTAGAGGCATCCCACCTTCACAAAGCACAACTTAAAAAAACCCTCCTGGCCACACCATTAAGGCCGACGCGCGGCTCCGCTCCCCCAAGCAAAGTTGGCCTCCAATGCACCTGGAGGAAAGACGCACCGCTCCCTCCCCCTGAGTAGGCACAACGAAGCCTAAGTAGCCTCCGGCAGGTTCCTGCTTCAGAGGGGAAGGAGGCGGCGGCTGCAGAGCTCCAGGAAGCGCCCTCCCGCCCCCACGTACCTTGGACACCGAGGAGGTGGCCATAGCCCCCGCCGCCCGCGGGACTCCAGACCCACTCGGGATTTCCCGCGCGCCCTCGCGGTATCCGGGCAAAGGTAAGCGGCGGGCCGTACGGCTCCGTGATTGGCTGGAAGCACCCTGGGGGCGGGCTTCCGGCGTGAGTGGGCGGGGCATGCAGAGGAGGGAGGAGTGGTGCGCTGGACCTGGAGGCTGCTTACGCTTCCGGCAAACCGACATGGCGTGCGGCTTCCGCAGGTCCATCGCTGGTCAGGTATGAACCCCAGACCTGGCTGGAGGGCCGCCTGCACCCCGAAGCTGCCTCAGCGCCCAGGGCCTGTCTTCTATCAAAAGGAGGGGAGGTTCCGCAGAAACCCTCTTTGTTCATACCACTTTCTATCCCGTCTGTGGAGCTGCCGAGGCTGCCGCGGCCAACAGCATGGGGGGTCGAGAATGGGACCCAGATGAATTGCTCTGGGTGAAATTGGAAAGCACTTGTTGCTTCCCTCGCCTTCTCACCCCGGAGCATTGTGTGCCTTACTCGTGTGAGCGTCACTAGGCCCTGATGAGCTCCTGTGGAAATGACACTTAGTGCACTAAGCTGATGCCATGATGTAAATTTCCAGTCGGAAGTATGTAATTTAGAAATTTCAGTGGCTTTGGCAATTATTTTCCAGAGTTCAGCTGAACTCTGATAGGTACTACTTCCCTAAAATCTAAAAAAAATTAATGTAGCTTATTTTAGACTTTTAAACAACTGAACAGGTAAACATCAGTTTGTAACTCTTCCAGTGTATGAATTCAGCCCTATGTCATATCCTTACTAAATTATTTGCCTTAATCAGATATAATTAGGTAACAAGGCTACAATGTTGAGTGTTTTTATTTCATTTCTGGAGTTTTCGTCATTGGGTGCTTTATTTTTGGAAATTTAGTAACTTTACCAGGGTCTCTTTTAGTGTTGCATTTTCTGTATAATATTTTCCTACATATTTATTTTACTTTGTAAATTCCGTTTTTTTTAAATGAAATAATAATAAGGAAAAATAAAGTCCCATAAACCCAGTTAAAATACCATGGGTTCTGTTCTCTGTTGTAAACTCACTCACATAAGAAGTTTCTCATTAAATTATGTTTATGCTTGTTATTGACATGGGGATACTGGCTATACCAATAAACAGTAATATTTTGCAAATTATTGAATTCTGTAATAATCAAACTGCAACTATCCTGCATTTGTGATTTTTTGTTTGCCTCAATTTTGTAAAACAATTTTTAATGCTGCGAGGAAGTCTGTTGCTTTCATTTTACTACTAAATGGCGTACTATGACAATAATCTACTACATATAGACATTCTCCCAGTTACTATATATTACATCTTATCTTCCATTTCCTTGGTCACAACTGTGCCCAGCTGACACTCATGCCGTTTCATATGTTCATCCATTTAGTTGTTAACAAGACCTATCCTGTCTGAATGTTGTTGCTCCCAGACACTACTCAGCTAAAGTGTGGTAGGATTAACACTGAAAAATGACCTTTACTCAACAGGGAATGGAAATTGCTGCTTCCCATTTCTGTGTGGACAATTCTGGTAGACATTCTAGATACTTCTTAGAAGGTACTATAGAAATTAAGCCTCCATTACCTAGCAGTGACTTTGATAGTGTAATCTTGTATCAACAATTCCTCTTTTTCACTCCCCCAGTCAACAATTTCCCTTAGGAACAACTTCCCAAATGCTGTCTGTACTCATCTGACCTCCTTTTTTTTTTTTTTTAAGATTTATTTATTTATTCGTACAGAACTGGGGTACAGGTCAGAGATGCGGAGGGTGAGAAGATTCACCAGAGAGACAGTGGGGAGCAGAACAGGCAGATCGACAAAGTACACCTCTGAGGGGAGCAGTGGGCGGGTCAGGAGAGGTCTGCCACACCATGTGGATCACCTCTGGGGCAGGCTGGAATCAAACTAATGTGGAAGTGGTTAAGCTTCTTTGTGCAGTGCTTTAACCCGCTGGGCCACCAGGGAGGGCCTGACCTGCTTTTTAAGGAAGCCAAGATACTTTTTAAGTTTCCTTGAACTTTATTGATTCATCATCTATTAGCTTCTAAAAAATAAGACCAAGTCAGGGGACATGCTTTTAAAAAGCTGCTCCTTTCGCTTCAAAAGCCTAAATGTTTTGTCTTGCTATCATTTAAATTTTGTGACTTTGGGCTTTATGTTTGTATCCTTATGTATTTGCTACTAGAGAACCAATTTACCTTTTAGTCTTTTTGCTGCCCTTATTTTAATATTTGGGGAGATCAGTTATCCTAATATTAGATTATCTTGCTCCCAATTTTTATTTTCTGGTTACTTTTGTATTTTTTAAAGAGCTGTTATCTGATTATCTTAGCCTTTCTATGTCATATTTATGTTTTCAATTGTCTTTTCCTGTTTCTTGAGCTATAACAAAATGTTTGATCATCGATTTAATTTTTAGACTCCTTTTTTTACATCTTTTAATTCTTGTTTATTATATATATATATTCCTAATAAATTCCAATTCCTATAGTACTTAGGAGTGTTTTTTGTATCATTAGGTTGTACTTTTCTTTTAGACAGAGCCCTTTGCTCTCCTGCATGGCACATTCCTTTGTGTGTGTGTCCTTTTCCTTACCCCTCCCCCTGCCCCCCAGTTTTCCCTCTCTCCCTCTTTCTTTTTTACTTGCTGGTTTGTCATGCCGTCTTTTTTCATCTTGCTCATACTTGACAACTCTGCCCAGACTTTATATTTCTTGCCCCAACTTTCTAGTTCTTCACACATGGTGTGGGTGGATTCTTCATTTTCCACAACAGATTTATTTTGACTCACCTCACTTAAGTGTTTTCTAAAATATTAATTTGGCAGCTTCTTACTCATTTTTATCTCTCCAGTTGGTTGTTTGTACACATTACTCTTAAACTCTGATTTAGCATGTTAAACTTTTGGTGGCTAGCGCTCATATTTTTCTATCTTCTATAGAAGTTCCTTAAGAGGAACTTCAAGTTTTGCTTCCTGTAATAGGGAAATGTATTGTGTTTCCAAAAATGTCACTGCCAAGTGTTATGTTTTGTGAGGCCAATATTACCCTGACCAAAACTACACAAGGACATCATAAAAAAAAAATCTTCAGGGCCCTCCCTGGTGGCGCAGTGGGTTAACACACAGCACTGAGAAGCTAAAGCCACTTCCGCATGAGTTTTATTCCTGCCTGCCCCGAGGAGGCAGACCTCTCCTGACCTGCCCACTGCTCCCCTCAGCAGTGTACTTCATTGATCTGCCTGTTCTGCTCCCCTCTTTGTCTCTGGTGAATCCTCTCACCCTCCACATTTCCGGATCCATATGAATAAATAAATAAATCTTTAAAAAAAAATCTTCAATAAAACCTTAGCAAATCAAATTGAATATTAATATAATTATACATCATGACTGTGGGATTTATGATGTAGGGTGCAAGGATGGTTCAACATGCAAATCAGTAAATGTAATACACATAAAAAGAAAAATATTGTTATTGATGCAGAAAAAGCACTGGACAATATTCAATACTTATTAATGATTTTTAAATGAATTTTTAAAAAATGATAAAAATTTACCAACCTAGAATAAAATCAGAGGATACAGCATTATTTTCTGACAAATGTATTAATAATTTGTCCTGTATTTTATGTGTGTGTTTGGTTTTTAGCTTTCCAGAGTGTTGGATCTTCCCCCAGAAAACTTGATCAAGTCAATATCTGCAGTTCCAATTTCAAAAAAAGAGTTAAGTATAATATATTTAATAATCTATAATGTGCCAACTGTCAGTCTACCAAAAGAAAATTGTTGCCTTTTAATTTACAGACAAATCCTTGAAATCAATAATGATTTATTAAGCCTGGTATTATATCAATTTAAGTAAAATTGTTTTAGGTACTCTGATATGTTAGATTATTTAGTGTTCTCATGTTGTTTTCATGTTTATTTGTACTAATAACCAATTATGGCAGTCTTTAAGAAAAAGACTGAAGTTTGAATTTAATCTATAACAATAAATAAAAGAACTAAGATTGTGGGGTTTTAGAAGAGATTTAGAGAGTAAACACCTGTCTGATGTTTGAGTAGTATTGTACCATATTTACTTGCTAAGTTTTTTGTAGTGAGAGGTTTTTTGGTTTGTTTCCCTTTGAGGAATTATAGTGACAGATACCATTGATTAAGACTACTTATGTAACTAATAATTTCTTTCTTGGATGCAAGGAAATAGCTATCTCTTTATGAACTTCATTTTAATTGATACTTGTTAATTATTTGGATAGAAAACTCTCAATGTTTGGATAAAATGTTCTGTCAATTAGTGACAAGAAATTAGCTACATAGTAGGCACTAAAGCCCTTATCATTGAAAAGATGTCTTTATATTTTTCAAGACTTTAAGACTTATTCCCAAGACAGAACAGGTATCAGTGGAAGAAGAAGGAAAAAGCTACATATGAGGGTGTAAAAGAGAACATTTTTAACCCACATGGTGCATCAGACCTCTCCTGTCTCACCCCCTACTCTCCTCAGCAGTGCATTTCAGATGATCTGCCTGGTCTGCTCCCTACTCTGTCTCTGGTGAATCCTCTCACACCCCTTGCACCTCTGGCTTATACCCCAGTTCTTATATACATACATAAATAAAATAAATCTTTAAAAAATAAAAGAGAACACTTTTAAAATGGCCTGCTTCAAATTTCTGTATGTTGAATTCCAATTAAAAAAGCAGCCACTGAGCAAGGGGACCTCTTAATTGATGCAAAGTTGTTCCAAGCCCGTTACCTATTTCATTTTAAATTACATCTGTATGATAAGACTTTCTTTAAGTTTTTATGTTTCTTTAATAAGATGAACTTCCTTCACCCATATTTTGAATAGAATTTATATTACCAACTGGAAGCTTCTCTGAGCAGCCCCACTTGAACAATCTGAAATACTAAGACTTTGGGTTTTTAGGAAATAAATAGCAGAGCGAGCCTTAAAATTTTTCCTGGGCTGTCAGTCTTCACCTTCTGTATATTAAGTATATTTAAAACAGATACATCTCTACTAATTGATCAAAGATCGAGGAATCTTTGTAGTACTAAAACCAAGCCTAAGTTTTCTGTATTTTTTACTTCTTTTTAAAATGCTATTAACTGACAGGAAAGTTAAGAAATTTATTTTTTATTAATGTGTTTTATTTAATAATATTTATCGATTTATTCAGGCCTCTTAATTCTCTTATTTTCCACTATGGTGAAATTCCTGTATAATACTGATCAAAGTTGTCAGGATTAATAGCTTAAGCCAGTAGTACTCAAGTCTATGGGTTTCACTCTAATACCACCACAGCACTTCAGAAACAGTGGGAAAATAGCTATTGATTTTTAAATTCTAAACATAGATACTGTTGAAGCCATGATAGGTTCGCTTTTGATTCCACTCTATCCTCCTTCTGCAGAGGTAAACTACTTTCAGAAAGCAGATGATTATTTTTTACTAAACATGTGCTTTATGTTTGATTTTTAGTTTTCATGTGCTTTATGTTTGATTTTTAGTTTTCTTATTACATTGTTTTATCAGCAATGCAGTGAAAAGGAGAAATAGCAATGTCTGTCTCTAATGAAATATTGAGGGCTAAGAATAATACTTTTGGGTTTTGAAATAACTCCGATTACACATTTAAAAAATATTTTTGCTTTGGTCATTTGGAAGTTGGTCAGGAGCTTGAAAGAAGCAAACATTTGGAATAGTGGAGGAGTAAGCACTGGAAAAGACGTCAAGAGGACTCAACATTTTTGAGTCAGTTTTTTTTAGCAATAGGATTTAATTGTTAAGACATCAGCTTTCACGTCTGTAAAATAACATGGTTATTCTAACAGCTTTCATAAAGCTACAGTTGCACGATAGATGAGGAAATTGTTTTTAAGGTGATAAAAATTCTAAATAAATACAAGTTGGTGGTGTTCCTAATTTCTTTGCATTATAAAATTCTGAAAGCATACTACTTTCTTCTGATAAAATTGTCAGTGTGGAGACAGAACGCTTACTGATTTGTTTTTGGTTTATAACATGAGTAATTTTTTTAAGGTTAACAACAGCTTTTTCCTTGTTTAATATCTATAGAGTAAAAGCTGATTTTCAGATTTCTGTGGATTCTCTTTTGGAAAATAGCAGTGACCATTCAAGACTGAATATTCAAGATAAAGCAGTGAGACTGGCAGAGAAGGTACTTTGAGTACTACTGTTTCTTTTTGATATTATAATAAATTTATCATTTCAAAGGAAAAAACTACTCTGCATTCTATCTCAGCCATCATAATGAGTTTAATAGTGTTTCTTTGTTCAAGGTGCCTTGGGAAATACCATTGAAATTCATTTGAGCCATCTACTATTAAGGTTATGGTGATATTTCAGATTAGTTATAAAGCATTCCTCTTGAGCTGACATTGTTCAATTTTTTTATTAACTACTCACAGGAGGACTAAAATGTTAATTAAATTTACAGATTGAAGTTGAATGGACTTCTGAATTTAGGAGAACAAGCTGATAAATTAGAGCAGTGAGTTGCAATTTTTAAAATGAGTTTCTGAGAAGATGAACATTAAAATATGAGAAGAAATGATTAAATGTAAATAGGGTCATGATTGCAGAGAAGGAGTGATTGGATGATTTAATACCCCTCTTTCATTTCCAATTTCTCTGATGGGTTTGGTACCTAAGAGTAATTGAAAGGATTATAGAGAATTATCAGGTCTAAGTTATTAGTGTAATACCATCAGAAAAGACAGATGTTGGTTAAGATTTTTCTCAAATAATAGTGTTATTACATGTGACATGGAGTTATTTGAGCACTCTAGAGAATTACAACAATGAAAGTCATACTCATTTAAAAAGATGCTTAAAGAATGACTAATATAAAAGAACTTTGGTACCTGGGTAAATATTTGATAAAAGTATCACCCAATTTTTTATCAAGAACTATATCAGGATTAGAATTATCCTAATTACAATGTTTAGTCTCACCCCTATCTATGTGAGTTCTTAAAACCAATGACCTTTGGTGACAAAAGATTTCTGTTCAAGTTCCATGACTATATTAAGTGCTTTGGACATCTGTTTGATTAAAATTAAGGCATATTCATTTAAGGTAACACATTTAAATTATTTACATTTTATGCATTGGTGCAAGTGTTTTAGTGTGGGTCCTGGCAAGAGTGTTCTGTAACTCCTGAAAAGTAGATGAGAGAAAAAGCATTCATTGTATATCAAGATGTATGGGGTGGGGATAAAGTAATGTTCTCTCTCTTTCTTGTTAAATGGAGAATTTACAGTGAGACAGTAGGGAAGAGGAAGACTGACTACAGAATAGCATTCTAATCAGAAAAAACAAACCCAATACAGAATAACATTCTAGTGAGGAAAAGAAGAGAACATGAAGTGACTGTGAGAGATGACTCACCTGCTGCCTTTGAAAGACAGTTTGACTAGACAGATCTTATTGATCCTGTATAAATAACATACTTATTTTACTTCTTTTTTTTTCAGCTAAAATGTGATACAGTCGTAAGTGAAATCAGCACTGGGCAAGGGACTGTTAATTTCAAAATAAACAGAGAACTTTTAACAAAGGTAAGATGGGTTATGTTCCAAATACTATATTTACACTACTTTCTCAGATTTAGCCACAAGTGCCTTTCTCCATTTTAAACTTATTGTGCCTCCTTTTACCTTAGTATATTCTGATCAAAACCTTAGTGTATTCTGATCCCTCTGCCTGGAGTGTCACTCAAGAGTTCTCACTTACCAAATCTTGGTATTTCTTTGGCAGTGCCTCCCAGACCCCTTCATTTATATGCAGTCTGTATATCTGTCCTTTGCAGACTTCTTGTACTTGCTATTGTACATTCTTTAGTTTAGTTTCTGTTGCCCTTCAGACTCTTAATTCCTGTTAGGGCTTACATCATCAGTTTTTTTCTCACTATTGGATTCACAGTCTTAGCACAGTGCCTGACATATCATAGGTGAGCAATAATTGTTATCCTAAGTGTGGATTCTGTGTTGAATACAAGAAAAGCACTGCTGGTTTCTGCTTTCTGGCAGCGTTTGATCATTGGGAGCATAAGATTTTAGCAAAAGACAGCATAAGATAGTGATTTTAATAAAATAATAAATATTAAAACAAAATAGGGGATTGATACAATAAGCATAAGAAAATTCACAGATGGAGAGAAATCAGGTGAACATGAAAGGATTTGGAAACCTCATAATAGAACTGGGTGTACTTGGGTGAGACTGAGGGCAAGTAATCCTGGATAGACAGTGATAGTGAGACCTTTTGTTGAAAGGTTAGTCTCAGATGAACTTTAAAATTTATTATAATACATGCTTTTGTCTGTTATTAAAAAAGAAAAGAAATATACACCAGTATTGGTTGGTGGGGCTTAGTAAATGCTGTAGTTTTAATTAAAAAGAGCTATAAAAGCAAATTTTTAATACTATAGTTTTTTACCAAATTTATATCATTTATAGACACTGCCTATCAGCCTGTGATTCTTAATGAGAGTTAATGTTTCATACTTTTCTCAAGATCTCTAAACTTGTTTTAATTCCTATTTTGAAGGTGAATTAGTTAACCAAAACCAGTCACATGGTTGAGAAGGAAATTTGTTTTGAGCATATTAAAAAGTACCTGCTAATTTCTGGGCTCTTGGTAAATATTTTATGTCAACTTAGCAAACCTGTGAGTCCAATTTACCTTTTAAAGGAAGTGATTCATTCTTCCAATTGCTGTCTCAATTTTAATGAAAATAGAAAAGCAGCTTGCCAAATGCCCTCCAGATGTCAGGCAGCTAATAGGCGGCAGTATTTTCCTTTTTTGTTTTCTCTGATAGGAAAATGTGCTACAAGCAGATAAGAGCTCTTACCCTCAGCTTAGCTAAAAAATATTGTTTATATTTCAGAGCATGGTATATTTAAATTTTAAGTAGCCATGAATTTTCATATTTTATTATAGTTTACAAAATCTGAGGTTTTCTCTAGTTTAAGAATACTCATGAACATGGTCTGTTAAAGTTATTTCTTAAATCCTTGACAACAGAGAGTTAAGACTTTGAAATATAGCTACTCTTACATGGAAATTCTCCCTTCATTAAAGTTTTGTTAATCTGAAGTTTGTGTGATTTTTATAAAAGGAGCAAGGAGATTGCTTATAGTATCTCTACTCAGTATCAGTAGTAAAGATATATTCCAGAGCAATGAGCTCCCTAGTCTGAAAAGGAAGTATTACATGTGCCTGTCTTATAAATTAGAGTTTTTAAATGTTTTCTTATATATTCCTCCATTATTTTCAGGCCTTAAATATTGGCCATCTGTATGTCTCATGAATTTTTTCAAATCACAGCAACATAAAAATTCAACCCACCTTAAGGCCCAATACTTTTATTTTTTTCACTCTACAGTTAAAGATTAAAATGTTGCCTTTAATCTATATCCAAAACTTGCTCCTCAAGCCAAGAATTATGAATCATCATTTCTTACACATGACTTAGGCTTGCATAAAATGTGTCTGTTTATGCATTGCAATTGAATTATGAGCACTGGCAGCACCAAAGATGATTAAATGTTAGTGTGAATCAAATCATTAATGATGTCTTCAAATCTCTTCATATAAATCAGTCCTCAAAGATAGGATGCTAAAATGTGAAATTAAAGACAATGGGAACTACCAAATCTGGGACTAGATAATAAAATTTTCCATATTAAAAGATACTATGACCATCATGTGCATCATGAACTGTTACTTTGGTATTAAATTTCACCAATCTGTGCCATAAAGATGACTTTCAAGAGAAACTAAAAGTAATACTAATTCAGGTCAAGGACAGGAAAAAAAGAAAACATGACTTTGAGTCAAAAAAGGCAAATAAAATCCTATGTGTTAGATGTTTGGTGTACCTTAAGAGATACTCAGTGATTTTCTTTTTGTGTAGTCCTTGTTTACTTTTAGTATCAAGGTAATGTTAGACTCCTAAATGTGTTTAGGAACTTCCTGGCTTTTTGGCTTTTTTTTTTAAGAATTGGAGTAGGCTGTCTCTGGTGAATCACTGCTCCTGCACCTTTGGCCTATACCCTAGTTCTGTATGCATAAATAAATAAATCTTTTTAAAAAATAAAAGAATCGGAGTGGGACAGGTATTATGCCCTTTTTGAAGCCCTGGTAGATAGAATTCCCTAGAGAAGCCATCTGGCCATGGACTTTTATAGAAAATCTGTAAGCCTCTACCAAAAAAACTGTTAGAAATAATAAATGGTAGGGTAAATAAGTAGCAGAATAGAAAATTAATGCACACAAATCAGTTGCATTTCTATATGCAAACAATAAAAATGAAAAATCAGATCCATGTACAATCACATTTAAAAGAATGAAATGTCTGAGAGTAAGTCTAACAAAGAAAGCAAAGGACCTATACATTGAAAACTGTAAGACTGTTAAAGGAAATGAAAGAAGTCACAAAGAAATGGAAAGACATCCCTTATTCTTGAATTGGAAAAATAAACATTAAAATGGCCATGTTACCTAAAGCACTTTCCAGGTTCATTACCTACTAAATCCCAATGATTTTTTAAGGAAATGGAAAAATATTTTAAAACTTGTGTGAAACCACAAAATTCCCCAAAGCCTTCCTAAGAAAAAGGAAGAAAAACAGGTATCACACTCCATAAGTCCAAGCTACTTTTTACACAGCAATAGTAACCAAAACAGTATGGTTTTGGAACAAAAACAGAAACACAGACCAGTAGAATAAACTAGAAACCCCAGAGAAAAACTCACAAAAAAGTGGGCAGTTAATCTTTCTCACAGGAGCCACAACTATACAATGAAAACAGGAAAGCCTCTTCAACAAATGATGTTAGGAAATATGGACAGCCACATGGAAAAAAAAATTGAAATTTTTTTTCCTCTCATGCACAAAAATGTACCTTCTAACAAATTTTTACAAAATTTAAAAGAAGTAAAGTTGATAACATTTAAACAAAAATCAAACCAGAAATTGTAAAATCTTTTAAATAGTAGGGATTCATTAAAGACTTAAAATATAGATTTGATTAAATATGTATTATGTAAGCAGATAAGTGTCATTATTTTGTCTTACATGTTTTTGTAGTTAGCTGACAGATGATAGGTATAAACCAGAAAAGAATAGTATCACATTCATGAGATAACATGTACAGGACAAGGTGACTGGATATGGAAATTGGGGGAGAGGGGGAAATTTTAGGAACTCCTAAGTTTCTGACATGGTAATTAGGGCCATAGTTCATGGAAATAGAGAATGTAGAAGGAAGAGAAATACATTCCATTTGAAGTGCCTTTGGAAGATCTTCAGTCCTGAGTTGGACTTACTGGTTTATAACACAGAAGAGATTCTTTTAGGTGAATAATAGTTGACAGCACTTTACACCTAGATGAAGTGTAAAGGAGCTAGAAGCAAGAAGGGAGCACAGGATGTGGGGAATGGGAGTCAAGCAGTGCAAGAGGAGCCTGCAAAGGCAACTAAGACGTAGCAATCAGTAGAGTGTTGTTATAATCAGGGAAGAGGATAGTTGGAAGAAGAGTAGTACCATCCATTACATGAAGAGGGAGGAGGTGTGGAATTGGTAGTCCTCAACTTTAGAATAATGAGTTTGAATTCTCAATGCTTCCTTCCCTATGTGCAATATTATGCCCATAGTCTTGAAATAACACATTGGGCCACTAGTCATGACAGACGTGCTACTTACTATATGTATATTGATTGTTTTCTGTGTCCTACTACAGTGTGAATGAAGAAAGTATTGTTTTCTCTATGTCCTTGGGCAAACTCTGTGAATGTTAGGTTATTGCATCTATTAAATGGAAAATGCCAATCAGTAACATTGTGACAGTTAAAGAGAACATAGAAACACCTTGAACCTTGCAATCCATGGGTGCATCTTAAATGTTATAGTGTATTCTTTGTGGCTTTCTCTTACCTTCTCTCATTTGCATGCAGTGACCATCTTCACCAACTTCTATAACATTAAAATTCTCCACATCATCAACTTATTTTTGCTCTCAAAATTCACTTTGTGGAGCAAAACCAGTAGAAGAGTCAATAAAACTACTACAGTAGTACTGCTAGCTAACGCTAAAGCCATTAGCTAAAGTATGAATTTTGTGAACTCTACAGTATTTCAGTATTACCTAAAAACTAACCTCAGATATCTCAATGCTTTGATAGTTTCTGAGAACTCTCCTTGTTTTTTCTTTGTCATTTATAGGCACTTGAATTCCTTTTCTACCACTATGTGTAATTGTTCATGTCACTAAAGTAGCGGTAGTACTGGTCATAAATGCAGCTTCTCAAGTGTAGAGAGAAACAAATTTTTGCTACCTGATTTTTAAGATTTTTAAAATTTTTTTTTGCATGGAAGAACTGGAGTGTAGGCCAGAGGCGCTGGGGGATGGAGAGGATGAGAGGATTCACTAGAGACAGAGTGGAGAGTAGAACAGGCAAATCTACTGACATACACTGGTGAGGGGAGCAGTGGGCAACAAGGGAACAGCAGAGTACCCTGTGCCCTGCTGGTCCGCTCCCTGAGGAGGGATGAAATCTGGATCATCGAGGTCTGGCCCTTGTGGTAGTAGCTCTGAGACTTAACCCTTGGGGTACCAGGGAGCCCCCTTGCTACCTGATTTTATTATATGTCCTTGGGAGAGTTACCTCATCTCTCTGCTTCTGTTTCTTCATTTATAAAATTAAAACTTACCTCTTAGGGTTCTTGTGAGGATTAAGTGAGCTAATGCATATGAAATGGTTAGAACAGTTCTTGGCATATGGTATGCATTCAATAATTATTAGATGCTGCCTATGGTTTTGCTATTACTATTTGCTCTCGGGGGTTTTGGCAGTTAACCATGCTAAACTTTAGATTTTTACACACCTATAATAAATCTAAATCATTGGTCACTATATAGATCAATAGAAATGACATATAAAAGAACAGAGACCCACCTCTCCCCACAGATGTTAACTGGTGTTAGTTATTACTGCTCTGACTGGCATTAGCAAGAGAAGGTGGTGCCACTTGACAAGGCTCTAAATTCTCAATTCCATTAAATTAGAACAAGCACATTAGCAGTATTTTGTTCCCACTAACAATATTATTAAGAAACTTGCACTTTTTTCCTATCATTAAATCCCATGTCTTTTACTTTTTCAGACAGTGCTACAACAAGTAATCCAAGATGGCTCAAGTTACGGATTAGAAAGTGAACTTTTCTCTGGTCTTCCCCGGAAGAAGATTGTGGTTGAATTCAGGTGAGCACCTACCCACTTTATGTTGGTTAACATGAGTTCGCTGGACAGGTTAGGTGTTTTATCATTATCATCTGTGATCTTAGGAAACTACATGTGGAAAAATTGAAAACCAGTGAAATTATATTTTCTTAAAATCATTAAATCATGAATGAACATTTTGGACCCCACTAAAAAATATCTAATTTTTTTAATTTTAACTTTGCTCTAAATTTCTAATTTTTAACTTACCTTTGTTGTAAATTCCCAAAAGCCTTTGTCCCCAGTTGTGTTAAACTGTGGAGGCATGACCAATTAATTATAGGACGTGTTCTTAGAACTGAAAATAACTTTTGTAATTATTTGCAGTTCACCTAATATTGCCAAAAAATTTCATGTTGGACATTTGCGTTCCACCATCATAGGTAAGTATTGTGACTTTCACAAAAAATACTAAATACATATTTGGAGCATATATGATAATACATATAATAATGGTTTAATGCTTAATAACAAAGGGACAGAAATGTTTGGAATTTAGATCAGCTTGATGTAATTAATATCTACATGAAGTAGGGGAATTGGTTTAGAAATAAATTTATTTCAAATCCTAAAGATTAATTCAGAAACCAGTTTTAGCTTGTATGTATGTCATAATTCTAATTTTTAAAAAAATATGTATGCATATGGAGAGCGGAAAGACTTGAAACTGAATAACAGCCATATGGGAATTAATAATATCCCCCAAGTTTTGGTTCATCTCTTTCATTCTGAAATAAAATTCAATCATGTGAGTACTGAGTACAGTGTTCAGGACTGGAAATTCAAACAAAACTATTCTAGTGAGGAGAAATTACTATACTACTTCACTGTTGCAATCCTTTAGTGTATGATATGCTTGAGATTTTCATTTATTTAAAAAAAACATACAGTATTTAGCACCCTAATTCAGCAATTGTACTTAGAGTTGTATATTACAATGAGATGAGAATTTAGAGTTTATCTCATCTAATCTATCTTCCATTATAGAAATCTATACATGTTTAGGAAGTCATTTAACCCTTCTTTGATTTCTCTTAAAAACTAGAGAAATCAGGGAATCTCTGATGGCACAAGAGGTTAAGTCCTAGCACTATCAAGCTATTGTCAGCCATTGCAGCATGAGTTTGATCCCCACCCAGGGAAGTGACGCACATGGTGCAGCAGACCTCTCCTGTCTCACCTGTGTTGCTCCCCTTAGCAGTGTATTTCAGTAGATCAACCTGTTCTTTTTTCCACTCTATCTCCCCACACCTCTGGCCTATATCCCCGTTCTTGTATGCACAAATAAATAAATCTTAAAAAAAAAAAAAAAGAACTGGAGAAATCAATCCTTTATGGCATAGATTATTACTGAACCACAGTCATTGTTACAAAGGTCTCACTAGCATTTTAAGAGAAGAAAAATGAAAAGACTGAACAGTATAAGAAATATACTCTGTAAGAAATACTGAATGAGGGCCCTCTCTGGTGCCACAGCAGGTTGAAGCATAGCACTTAAAAGCTAAACCCACTTCAGCATGAGTTTGATCCCCACCCCGGAAGTGATCCACGTGGCACGGCAGACCTCTCCTGACCCGCCCGCTGCTCCCCTTAGCAGTGTACTTGGTTGATCTGCCTGTTCAGCTCCCCACTCTGTCTCTGGTGAAGCCTCTTACCGCCCCTGCACCTATGGCCTCTACCCCAGTTCTGTATGAATAAATAAATAAATCTTTAAAAAAAAAAAAAGGGGGGGGGGGGGTGAAGGAGGGAAATGCACGGGACTACGGTGGTGGCACAGGGGTGATATGGTGATGGGAAACCCGCGGGGATTACAATCGAGATGGAAAAAAAAAATGTGCAAAATGATGTAAAAATAAACTTTGTAATAAAAAAATAAAAAAAGTATCTCAACCCATTTGAAAAAAAAAATACTGAATGAGTAAGTCAGAAGAATGAGTATCATAAGTAAATAATGGGTAAAGCAAAAGTTGCTTAATGGTTGTTAAGGGAAATACTTGGACCTAGAAGAGAGAACATATCTTGAGAACTGTGTTTTCATGTTTATCTCAATTACAACAGAACAACCAACCTTGTTAGCTAAGTTTTGTGAACTTTATCTATGAAAGAGAAAACTTAAGATACCAAAAGTAACTATCCCAAAATCATTTCATTGGATTTGTAAGATAATATAGTGCTAAGATAAAAACAGGAGTGTATCTGAGTAACAACTGGAGATGGTGGTTCCTGTTGGGACTGTATAAGTTGGGAAAGTCTGGAAGTGAGGAAGCTGGCAAGAAAGTAGTGTCAGCAAGTTGTCAGGTGTTTATTGGTGAAGGAATATCAGCAGAAAACTAGATTCACTTTAATAAAAATAGGAAAGGATTTATTACAGGATATTAAAGTTTACAAAGTTGTTTGCCATGCCAAAGAATGTTTGGCTTACACAGATGTAAATGACTCTCAAAACTATGTCATAGAATTTAGTAACCCAGAGAGCACCTGCCTTTTCTGCTATCATTTCTGCTGTTCTAGAACCAAACTGCCATCTCCACAGTCAGGAAACTGCCACTACCACCACCATGCCATCTAGAATGTAAACTAGCAAAGGGCATCCCATAACCTGTCAGTTCCCTTGGAGGTCACAGGGCAGGATACTAGCACCTCTTATTAGTGATGCCATAAAACAGAAAAGCACCACAACTTTACTTGTCAGGAAAAAAAAAAAAAAAGAAAGAGCTTCCTTTTTAACTTATTTTGCTTTCTAAATCTTACAAGTCTAAATGATTTCTGAAACCCAAACTGCAAGAGATTCTGGAAAGTATAGTTTTTATGTTTCCCATCTCTGCACTGTGTGAGGGCACACTAGAAGAAAGGATTAGATGGTGAATATCGAAGAAACACCTGCATTACCGGACAGTGAAGTTCTTAGACTATACTAATTGGGGTCAGCCCTGAGAGGAATGAACTTAAGAGAATGAAAATAGTTGAGTGAGCTACTTAGAAAAAGCTAATGTGGTCCAGGTTCTTTAGGGCACATTCAAATTATTTCTGAGATTCTGTTATTTTCTGTGCTTGGTATTGAAAATTGGAATAATAGTTACTCTAGAATGTGTTCCCAATTGCCTTTGACATTGATAAAATTCTGTTTTTGTGAAAATTGTCAGATTCTTTGGACTAACTATCCCCTGAATAATTCTTGCTTCCTTTCCATAACATAGATGAAAACACAGTGTTTTAACTAAAAAAACTAAATTGGTAAATTTTGCCAAAAGAATGTTTTATATTATGCTTTGACTATGGACAAGCACATGATTCTTTTGCCAAAATAAGTAGCAAGATTGAGAAACTTTTTTATTGATTATTAGGAAATTTTATAGCGAATCTCAAAGAAGCACTAGGACATCAAGTAACAAGAGTGAATTACCTTGGAGACTGGGGCATGCAGTTTGGTAAGTTTCAGATTCTATTGTTATTTCTATTGATAAGTTTATTTTACTATGTTACTTGGTCATCTGGATAGAATATAGGCAGAATCCCATTGGATGAAGTTATGCCTCCTGCTTAATCTTGTATTTTATTAATAGAGTAATTCTCACCACATGAATGAGTTTGGAGGGAGGAAATGTTACATAGAGCAGGCCTGATAAATGTAGGCTTTTGTGCTTTTATTAAAGAGAAGTGGGAATAGTGGGGGCAAGAACAAAGGGAGGAGGGAGCCCTAGGCTCCAGGGTAAAGGACCCTAGTGCTTTCATGATGGGTATGCTGTGTTACATCTATACCCCTAAATCATCCATGGTGTTGTAAACCAGTCTTACCCCTAGGTAAAAAGTAATAATAAAATTAGTTCATGTTGTTAAATATAGTGTATAGAGAGAAGTAAGTTTGACTATATGCACCATTCCCACCAGAGTGCTGCCATTTTTGTAATTGGTGAAGTCCAGTCTCCTTGGACCATCGTTCTTAAACTGGGATTTGTGTTTACATTCTGGAGCAGTGCTATAGAAGAAAACTAAGTGGTATACTTGGGCTTTCTTCTTAGACTGTACAGTGACAGGAACCAAAAAAGAAAGAGAAGTAAGAATCCAAGTAGTTGAGTATAAGTAATTATTTCAAATGTTATGACTTTACTCAGACCATTTTTAGCTCATAAAACCAATAATCAAGGTTTGGAAAGGCAAGACAAATGAAGTTGCTGTGATTGTAAAGAACTGGCATGTAAAATGTAAATTTTTTAGAATCTTTGGCAGCTCTATATATATTAAGATACAGACCTAACACACCTTGGTGGTGGGACTGCTTATACTTCCAAAATAACAATAGCAGTGTAAACCAATGTTATGTAAATTTTAAAAAACAATAAATTAAGCAATTGAAAATTTAAATATAAAGCATTCACCAACACCCAGCCAAACCCTTGCCTACCACCACATTCCTAGTACTCAGCTTTACTCAAATACACTTCTCTCCTACTTTATTCTTATGTTTGTGTTTTTGTCCCCTGCTAGATGATATGTTCTTTGAAGAGTAAACTGTTCCTCAATTATTTTTGTGTCTGTGGTGCTTGCCATATAGGAGATGCTCCAAATGATAAATGAATCTGTCACAGGAAATATTTTACAATACCAATTCAAAAGAAAGAATATATATTATTTTAAAACTTTCATAAAGTGTAGTGTGCATGCTAGTACTAAAATATGCTAATACTTTTATGTTCCATATCTAGTGAAATGAAAAATTTCCAAAAGACAAATTTATCATGACCTTTAATAAATATTATTCTTTTATTTAGTAAAAAATCTTTTCAGATTTTTTCAGACCCTAAAGAGGGTAGGACTTGAATCTGTTAACCATACCTTTACTACTTACTGAAAAAGAATCAGAAATCATGACCTATATTTTAAAAATCCATTTGCCATTCACAGCGGCGGGGAATCAGAGGTTTAGGCTCTTATCTCAATAGTCAGATTTAATAGATGGAATCTGCTTTATATTATTTATATTTATATTTATATTTGACCAATTTAGGTATATCACAGGCATTAGCAAATATGTGATTATGGTATTAAATTCTAGCTGCAGGATTTTATTATGGCTGTTTTCTCTGAAGACTAACTACTGTGTGTAATGATTTGTCGAACATTTCCATTATCATCATTGTTGAAAACTTTTAATTTTTGTTGTTTCAGCTGTCCCCCATTGAAAGCTGGCAGATAGTTCCACAGGCACAAAATTAATTTTTGAAAGTATTAGGTTCAATAGCCTTTACTTTTCACATTGATGTTTTTTAGTATACTGTGTGCAACTTCCTCCATGCTGTTCTTAAAACAGCGAATCATAATCACATTTATTTTAGCTTCAAAGTAAATAAGGCTAGTTTATATTTTTCATCCTAGTTCCTATCTAAGTTCTGAAGGACTATATATCTCTTTACTCAATGACATCCCATTTTCTGCTGAACACTGTATAGAAATATCTACATTAGTCTGGTGGCAGTAGCTGCTTTAGATCTGAAGCTTGTGATGAGGAGGTTATAGAAACAGATTTGTTTTTTTTAATATTTTGTTTTATTTATGCATACACGAGATGGGGTGTAGGCCAGAAGTAGGGGTAGTAAGGTGATTCACCAGAGACAGGTGGGGAGCAGAACAGGCAGATCTGCTGAAATACACTGCTGAGGGGAGCAGTGGGTGAGATAGGAGAGGTCTGCTGCGCCATGTGGGTCAGCTCCCTAGCCAACAATGGAACTTGAACTCAGGCCATATTTGTGATAGGGCTGAGACTTAATCCCTAGGCCACAGGGAGGCCCCAGTTTTTTAAATAATAAATAATAGTTTTTTAAATAATAAACCTATAGCTGTCCTGGGTTCCAGCCTGCATGTACCTCTTCAATCTGAAAATGTGATCTTCTTTTTTGCAAGATGTCTTAAGAGTTTAAATGTTCAGACTATATTAGGAATTTTCATTGTAAGTTTACAAACCTCTATTAATACTTTTTTAAAGTGTCACATGAACACTATCCTCGAATTCTAAATCTAATCACCAAAACCTAAAAATAGTCACTAACAAGCACAAGATAAATATATGGCCAGATAAAAGAATTTTGTTGCTTGGTCATCTTCAATGGGAAAAGTGACCAGGGATGAATTAACTTTTATCTTGTGTTATTTATGTCCCTTCATTTAAGAACTGATATTATGACACCAATCCAATTCCTATTTTGTTTTTATTTGTTTTTTGTTAACATTTACAAGTTTCAAAAAGCTTTCAAGCCATTTCCCATCAGTTTGTTTTCAAGAATTTTGAGTGCTTAGTATCATAATGTCCTTCCAAAGAGTAGCAGTTCGGTAAATCCTTGTTACTCATGTCTGTGAGGAAATGTTGGGCACTATTAGTATGAAGATAAATTAGTCCTAGACCCAGCCTTTGCGTGCTCATAATTTACTAGTACCTGTAAAATTCATTTCCGCAATCTATCCAGTATATTCAATGTGTGACTCAATATGTTGAGTTTGACTTTTGTCAGTTAATAGGGTAGCAGAAGGTGATAACACGTTACAATATTCCTAGCATAACACAATTGTATGAGGTTAATCTTTTTATAGAACTATATTTGTTCCCTACCATGACTGTTCTTTTTTTGTAACTTTCTTGTTTATGGATTATTGTGGTAGGTCTTTTGGGAACTGGCTTCCAACTGTTTGGCTATGAAGAAAAACTCCAATCTAATCCTTTGCAGCATCTCTTTGAAGTAAGTTGACAGGAAATAATATTAGAAAATGCTTCCACTTCTTTTTTTTTTTTTTTTTCCAGAGTATAGTGCACCTTAGTTGGCAACACATTTTTTTGTTACAGAGACTTAAAACTATTCTTTAAAACAAGGAATCAAAGCAATTGAAAACTGTTGGCTTTATTTTACTAGTGGGTTCTTTTCATTTTCAAGCCCAAGTGTCATCACCAATTTAGTTCATTTGGGACATTATTTCTCGAAGTATAAAAAAATCTTAGAATAAAAACATGGGTGATAGATTCAACACAATAATTGCTTAGTTTTGTCACTTGATGTGTACCACAGCTTTCTTCACAGTATTAATTATAACTCAGCCTTGACAATCATGAATCTAAACTTTTCTGTTTTTGTTCTGGTATAAGGAGAACACTTGTCTTTCCGAGTTTGTATGAACTCTTAAAAATTTTTATCTTTAGGTTCTTTTCCTGACTTTTGCCTACTGTAAACTTTTTTCTGTTCTACTTCATTTAGTCCCTTAAATACTTTGCTCTTCTGTCCTCAGTCTTCTTTCCTGGAGTTAATTAATAAAGATCTCCCTGTCCAATTAATCTCCAGGGATGTATTTCCTTTTCATTGTTCTGTTAACTCTGCTATTTTTGGCTTTACAAGGATGACTGGTAACTTGTAGGCTATACTGCTCACATCCAGGGGTCAAACTAAACATGGTGTGCCTGTGCCTGGGAAAGAACTCTTACCAGAGTAATTCTTTGCTTTCTTTTCTCTAGTCAAAACCAAGGATAGTGCTTCATTTTCTACTGCCATGGGCTTTGTATTTATATTTAACAAAAACACTTTAATTCTTAAAGACCTTTAAAGGCTTGTACTTTCCTTCTTAGTCTGGGCCTATACTACATCTTAAATGCCTACATTTTGATTTATAATATTAAGCAAAAAATGTTTTCTCTTTCCCATTAAGAGTTTTTATCAATATAGTTGAAATATCTTTATCATTATCTGTAAATAAGGTAGGCCATGTTAGTTTTTGTTATTTTTACTGTTTTTAAATTTTTGAAAAATGACAGGTTTGTTTGTTTGCTTGGTTGTTTTTACCATAAACTCTGTCAACCGTTTAGCAATCCAGGTCAATTACCTGCTTGTTCACCTTGTGTCACTGAGAGAAATTTTTAACAGTTTAGAGTATGTATTGAGTTACTAGTCTCAGCTCTCTCCCGCCCACCTCAAAATTTCTTATTCAATACTGAAAATAGTAAGACTTTTTTGCCCATAATGTTTTCAGTATTTTAGTAAAATCTGTTCTGAAACGCCAATGAAACCTAAAATGTGCAGCTTAATACAGTTCCCTGTCTTTTGAGACTTAAAAAGCAGGAGATCACATACATCTTTAGTAGAGGCTATTGCTTGATAGATGCGCATGACTAGCCAGCGCAGGCGTACTGTGATGGATGGGTATAGGTAAGAGGGAAATGGGGGCAGAAAGTACCTCTATGAATAAATAAGAACTCTGGGAACAGTGATGTTGCTTTCACTCAGTGTTCTTTTGCCTAATAGCTTCATAGGGAGCAACGCTGATAGACAAAGGAGGGCAAGTCAAATACACCCACCTTACTGTTTGCAATAGGAGCTAAAAATCCATTATAGCATTCAACAGCTCTTGTCCTTCCTTTGCAGAAAAGAGAAAATAGAGTCTATAATGTTTCATTTTATCTATGTGCTAGTTTTGCAGACCCAGTTTTTATTTTAAAATTATAGTTGTCACTGTAGGTTACTTTCAAGAACAACTTTCAACATAAGTGATGAATCTCTTTGATTTTTAGCTTTAAGCAAATATTAAATGATTTTACCCCATTTTAAAACATGCAAAAGTTATACAAGTAACTTATTTTAATGACGTGAAATATTTAATAGTTGAAAGATGTCATACCTGTGTAGTGTCAGAAGTAGCATAGCATAAATTGGTAATACAGCTTAACCTCAACATCTTTTCTGGGTGACCAGAAGTTAGGGATAATGATTTCAAACTTGGTGTTGGGGAATCACTAAACAGTGTTGGCACAATTTGCATTTTCTCTTCTTTTTGTGAAAATTTTTTCATAAGACTGTGGTAGAACCCCTGGTTTGTTCCTTGGCAAATTGTGGTTAAACTAAGCTCTGTCTTGTGACTTTTCTTTTGACAGCCTCAAACATACAAACATGTAAAACCTATTGCATACCTGGGCCCTCCCTGGGAACAGGGGATTAAAGCACAGCACTATGAAACTAACCACAACCACTGCAGCAGAAGGTCGATCCTCAGCTAGGGGGGTGACCCACATGGCATGCAGACCTCTCCTGTCTCACCTGCTGCTCCCCTCCACAGTGTATTTCAGTAAGTCTACCTGTTCTGCTCCCTATTCTGTCTCTGGTGAATCTTCACCCCCTGTACCTCTGGCCTGCACCCCAGTTCTTACATGCATAAATAAATATATCTTAAAAAAAAAATTTCCATGCCTCCAGGATAGGGCTGTTGTGTGATACACTGGTCACCATTTGTGACCATTTGACTGTAACTCATTTCATTATTGTACTTTATTAATGAATAACCCAGGATTCCAACATAGGCTATCTGGCTGCATCCCATCCTCACTCCCCCCACTAAACCACAAATGCCTTTGTGAGCCGTTCATTTCCACTGGTTGTAACTATTTAACATAGCATTTTCCTTTTTTTCAATCCTTGAATTACTATACCAGGGACAAAGCTATAGTTCAGTTTTAGCAATTTCAACCATCTGATACATTTATTTGAAATTGGCTTAGGTCATCTGGAAGCAGATTTTCTGATCATCCTTTCTCCCTTGAGTGATGATCAGTATCACCCCTTTTCAGTTTCTCAGCCAGGTTAGAACTTATATGATAGCTGTAGCATTTCTATAAAGAAAATATTTTTATTTACCTGTAGTAATTTTTTTCCAGAACACATGGCTTTGTTGTACATGGACTTAGGTCATTTGTTCAGTGTTCTAATTTGTTGTCACAAAGTGGGAAAGTAGTGTTGTAATAGTTACTCCCCCCTGAATTTGCTCATGAGTTAAATAGCTAATTTATTAATTATTTTCTGCTTAAAATTCACAATATTGACTTCAAGGGGGGAAATGCCTTTCTACTTAAGGAAAAGTTATTCCTTATATCTTAGGAGGAAAAGTTAACAAATAAGTGTTAAATCTGAACCATGGGTTTGTGGGTATTATTATTTACTACTGTTTTAATAATTACTAAAAGTAATTCTTCAGTGTTCCTCCTATATTTAAAGTACTTTAATGGACTTAAATAACATCTTACACTGTTATCTTTAAGGATATATAGCCAGACTTTTTTTTTCTCCTACAATAGCATATTGCTCACTAGTACTATAGATTTTAAGAATAAGATTCCTCTGAAATAATGAGTTTCTCATAAGAAGTAACTCATGCCATTAAAGTATGAATTATTAAGCTTGCACTATAGACATTTCTGAAGGTAGGATGATACAGTAGCACTAGTAGTATACATTTTTTCTTAATTCAAAATGACCCTCATAGTTTCATTATTTTTACCATACCCTCTCTAAAAGGATTTGAGGTAATTGTAGTTATTGGTGTTTAGTAAAGACATAATATTAGATAACGTTAAGCGAGAAATCTGATCCTGAGCTTCCCTATCTTAATAGTAAAAGAAGTAATAACTAAAAAGTAGACAATATCAAAGCATGATCTTAATGAGTGATTTTTTTTTTTAATGTGGAGGAAGGATCTGCATCTCACACTATGTTTTCTGACCTAAGAATCTCAAGAAAGTTTCTTAAACTTATGTTACAAAAAAAAGTAATTTGGGGCCTCCCAGGTGGCTCATGGGTTAACGACAGCCCTATCAAGCTATTGCCAACAACTGCTGCACAAGTTCTATCCCTGCCTGGCCAGGGAGCTGACCCACATGACACTTAGACCTCATCTTTCGCACCCGCTGCTCCCCTCATCAGTGTATTTCAGTAGATCTGCCTGTTCTGCTCCCCACTCTGTCTCTGGTGAATTTTCTTGCACACCCTGCACCTCTGGCCTACACTCCAGTTCTTGTATGCATAAATAAATAAATCTTAAAAAAAAAAGTCATTCAGTGCTAAATCAATTGTAGAACATAGAAGATTTTTTATGCAGTTAGAAGTTGTTAATTTACAAAGAATTGAATTCAAGAGTACTTTATTAAGTCACATTTCTTTTTCATGAAAAGTTATTTTTATGATTGGTATGAATTAAACTAGTTATAACCCAAGCAAGAAATAGCTCTTACATTATAAGCTATAGGTCAGCTTAAGTAGGAGTTCCACATTTCCCAAATCACAGATGTACCAGACTTTTATGTATATTCCAGGACACGTGTAGAGGCCTCTTGACTTTGGCAAGCACCGGTATTAAAAGATAGACCTAGTATGCAAGCCTCCATGAGATCTTGCAGGTTCACAGCTCTGCTTGTACGTGCTTTACTGAGAAGTCCTTGCTGTAGCCCTGTTACACATGCCTGGAGATCAGCCACCCTGTGTAGTGGATATATGAACCATATCCTGAGTATCTGCCACCACCCTAGTAGCCACCAGTATCTGCTTTTGCTGGGAGTGTTCCCCCCTCTCTTCCCTAGTCTAGGCAATTCTTGCCTCTCTCTTGGCATTTTCTCTGTTTCACCATTGTGGTTTTTTTTTTCCAGAAAAGATTTATTTATTTATGTATACAAGAGCTGGGGTGCAGGCTAGAGATACAGGGGTGGGGGACAATGAGAGGAGTCACCAGAGACAGTGGGGAGGAGAACAGGCAGAACTACTAAAATCACTGCTGAGGGGAGCAAAGGTGAGACAGGAGAGGTCTGCTGTGTCATAACCCCTTGCACCACCAAGAAGGGCCCTGTTTCACCATTTTTCTTGACTTTCCTTCCAAATTCCTATTCATTGGGGACAATTTCATTGTCATCTGAGTGTTCTTAGAATAAGGATGGCAATACCAAGCAGGACCAGGATACATGTTAATAGCTCAGTAATTATACCATCCATTAAAATGTGCAAAAGACTTTCAACATGAGAAATATATTAGGCAGTAATGAGCTACCAAAAAATTAATAATTATCAACCTTAAAGGTGCAAGATAGGGATTTTATTGTATATATGGATGATAAAAATAAGAGAATCTAAATTTTAGATGAATGGAAGGTAAAATGCAGTAGCCATAACCATTAATACATTATATGTTTTCTAAAAAAAGATAAATGCTTTCTGAATAGAGGACATTTAAATACAGATAACAGGCTCTTCCTTAGTGTTCCAATTATGCTGACCATCTGAAAACCAGTTTTCAGAAATATAATGGGATGGGATGGAGTTAGAACTCTACCCTACGGAATAAACTATGCCAATATAGCTAATATATTAGAATCAAATTGAAGGGATTAAAAGGGAGTAAACAATTTATCTCCTGCTTTTAATTTTCACACTTTTTTACATTTAAGGTGATCATCCCAAAACCTGGTTGTAATTAGTCACTTAAATTAGAAATAAAATGTCATGCCATTTTGGCCATCTCAACAGCTACAAGTAATGAAAGGATTAATATTCTTTTAAGGAACACAAGTGATTATTTTATCATAGTAACTAAAAGAAAACTTGGGTTTCCATCCTCAAAAACATTTAAGCCACACCACTATTTATCAAACCCAAGTTTTAAAATTTCTTTTCATCCTTTGTGGTTAGATATTGCCTCAAAAGGAAATTTCAAAATGCATACTTTCCAAGGGTAAAAGGTTCCTGGTAACTAAATTAAAACCTGTCTACAATTTCAGAAGTACATAGTACAAAATTTATTTTGTAAAGTACAAAGCTTTTCTTTTCTAGAACAGTGATGAATGATAATAATTAAAGTTTTGCACTGTGTGTTTACAGGCAGATTGTTAAGTGCTCATTAAGGCACTTCTATTGTTCTGTTTGGTAGTCCTAGTTCATTTTCCTTCATCTTTCATTTATAGCTACAAATGCTTTACTGTCAAGATTCTTCAAGTATTTAGAAGGGTTTGGAGACTAATCTATTTTAAATTTTAAGGAAGAGAAATGGTTCTAGTGAACTTTTTTCTTTTTAAAGATTTATTTATTTATGCATACAGAACTATGACACAGGCCAGAGTTGCAAGGGTGGTGAGAGGATTCACCAGAGACAGAGTGGGGAACAGAACAGGCAGATCAAACTCATGCTGCAGTGACTACTGATAGCTGCATCATGCTGAGACTTAGCCCCTTGCACCACTAGGAAGGCCCTTATTTGCCAGTTTTTATTTCATGCTACTTTAATAATTTTCTGGAAATAATGTAAATTTATTGTGTTTTCAACCTGAAAGTGGGTTATAACTTGTTAGTAAAATCTTTATAGTCCATATACAGACAAATATACTTGAGCTACAATGTTGATGTTTTAATATTAACACTGCACTTTAGAGACTGAAAAATGATTAACAACTGGGTTATGATGTAGAATCCTATAGCTGAAAGAACTTTTTAACAAACCACCTAACCCCATTTTTGTCATTGAGCGGATGCTGAACTAAAACTAGCTAGACAGATGGCACAAAAACTTTCCAGAAGTGATTGCTCCATACAGTTCTCAGGAGCCCAGGCTAGAATGTAATTAAACTTGCTATCCAAAAAGGTTTTCCTTATCTATTAAGATTTTACCAGTCTCTTATAATTAGAGCATGGTTTTTAAAATTTTACATTAAAACAACTACTGACTCATTTGGTCTTTGCTTTGCCTTGTACCATCCTACTTTCTTCAACCTTTTCTCACAAAAGTTGCAAGAATAATAATTTGGCTTTAAAACAAGAAACCCACTAGTTTAGTCTAAAACTGAATTTGGATAGGAAGGATTAACTATTTCTTTATCAGAAATTTAGCACTTTTCCTCCATTGCTTCATCATAAATCAACTTATAAAGATATTTGGTAGATAAATACATTTCTTTTTTTTTTTTAAGATTTATTTAATTATGCATACAGAACTGGGTTGCAGGCCAGAGGTGCAGGGGCAGTGAGAGGATTCACCAGAGACAGAGTGGGGAGCAAAACAGGCAGACTGACGGAGTACAGTGCTGAGGGGAGCATGGTGGGGTCAGGAGAGGTCTGCTGCACCATGTGTATCACCTGTACCATGTATCACCTGCGCTATGTGGATCACCCCCGGAATTGGGGATGCAACTTGCACTGAAGCTGCTGCAGCTGGCTTGCAGTGTTGTGCTTTAACCTGTTGCACCACCAGGGAGGCCTGGATAAAATTTATTGCTATGTAATTATTTCCTTTGTAATGTGATATATTTTATGCATTTAGAAACACTCTGAGTGGAGGTCTGTTAGCATTCCCAAGGACTCGCAGCAATATTAAAAATTACATTCTGTGATGAAGGCAGTAATCTTGAGTAATCTTTAGATGAGAATTCTTAAGATTGTGTTTTGTTGTCTTTATTGAAAATAACAGTGATAGTAATGTACTGTTGCGTTTTTAGGTTTATGTGCAAGTTAATAAAGAAGTGGCAGAGGATAAAAGTATAGCAAAGTCAGCACATGAGTTTTTTCAGCGACTGGAACTGGGAGACATGCAAGCACTTGCACTGTGGCAAAAATTTCGGGATTTGAGCATAGAAGAATATGTTCGGATTTATAAGGTACTGATCATTCTCCTTTGTTCCCTCCTACAATAGGTAGTTCTTGGCTGATACTACTGGATTTTAAGCTCATGCTTTAAAAATTTATTTGTTGAGTTGAAAAATCGGAATTTGAATTTTGTTTTTGCCTTGGAAGTTAGTGTTATTCACATTGCTAAAGCCTGTAAACTTCACAGTAGGTATTCATTGTCAGAAGTGGCATTCTCACACTTCATTTCAGTCTGGCTTTTGTCTTCTTCTGCCAGCCCTTATAACTTTTTAAGTAATTTTGACTTCTATTTCCTTAGCCCTGTCTGTGATGAGTATAAGTTTGTTTAATAAACATTTTAGGAATTGGGACAGAAAACAACAGTGAATAAAGATAAATGTCCTTCTCTGTGGACTTTACAGTCTAAAATGGAGATAAAAGTAAATTAAACTAGTTAACAGCAAATTAAACAGTAACACATATCATCTGTTAGATGGTGATGCTATGAAGCAACAGGGAAGCATTGGAGATCAGGTGTGCTGCATGTGTGTTCGATATAAATTGTTTTAGTCAGGAAGTCATACAGCTGGAGTAAAGAACAACAGTAGGAGAGAAGGTAGAAAAGAGGTTGTGTAGGGCACGATGTAGCAGATACTCCAGGGCTATCTATATGGCTTCCTGCTCGATAAAAATATGTATACTGCTGGAAACAGTAGCATACCAATAGGAAGTGAGCATTTGAAGTATGAGTAGTATATTCTGAAACTCAGTTTTCACTTTTCTTAATTTGAGTTTGCATAGACACACGTGCCTAATGGCTACTAGATTGGCCAAACAGTACCGTTGTTAGGACCTGACTGGTATGGGATAGCAGAAGACTGATTTGATTATAAGTCTTTTTTCCCCACCTGTGTGACAAACTAGCATGTTCTGCTTTGTCTACTAGGAAGATAATAGGATATTAAAGTAACTTGTTTGTTTCTGAACTCCCTTTAGCGTCTAGGAATACAGTTTGATGAATACTCAGGAGAATCATTTTATCGTGAAAAATCTCAAGAAGTCTTAAAGTGGCTGGACAATAAAGGACTCCTACAGAAAACAATGTATGATCAGGTTATCATTTAGTAAAGTTACCTGGTTTTCAGTTGGTAAAACAGTGTGCTATGCAGCCTTTCTCCATTTTTTATAGTGCTTTTGGTTATTTAAAGTATTTTCCCACATGCTGTTTTTTGCTGCCATAACAAAATCTTAGTACAGTTAGGAAAAAAGGAAGTTATCTTTTTTCGTAAGGAAACAAGCACAGAAAGTACAAGTGACCTGACTTAGCTCACACACACTGATAATGGTCCAACTGGGGAAAGGAAATTGAATCACATCTTCTTACACATCATGACCTTTTGGGGAAAAAAAAAGAATCCCATCCTGTTTGTAAAACAGAGTTAAGGCAGGTTATTAAATGGTATGACAAGGGTAAAAGGAAGAAATCAGGAAGCAGGAGCCGAAAAAGTGAATTCATGGGTGATATCAGTATCATGTAAAACAAAAGGTAGATTTCTGATTTAGCTTTGAATTTCCTGGCAGTCTAACAAATAACACCAGTCACAGGAAACCAGGCATCTGTAATAACTGAAGCGAACCCGTTGCTTGGAAGTTGCAAAGTTGCACTGTTAATAGTATCAAAGAGCAAGTTCTTCTGTAAGGGTTAAGAGGAAGACATGGAAAAGGCAGTTCATAACATGGGCAGTAATACACCTGGAGGAAAACTTTTAGATAACCACATACAGGTTTTCTTTTTTTTAGATTTATTTATTCATGCATACAAGAGCTGGGAAATAGGCCAGCAGTGCCGGTGGGGGTGGGGTAGGGTGAGAGGATTCACCAGAGACAATGGACAGAAAGATCTATGAATACACTGCTGAGAGGAGCAACAGGTGCAACAAAGTTCTGTCGCGCCCTGTGGGTCAGCTCTCTGGCTGGGAATCGAATTCATGCTGCAATGGCTGCTGGTAGCTTCATAGTGCACACTTCACCCCTTGCACCACCAGGGAGACCCTGCCGCATACAGATTTTAATTTTTGATCAGGAAAGATAACAAAAATCCATGGTTTTATTATTCAAGGGTACTTTCTGACATATTAAAAATTAGCCCGATACTGAACTGTAATGACTTGATTTAGACATATGTTAGGCTGCAGTTGTAATCTCACTTTTCACTGGGTACATGAAAGACATTATATCAGTACCTAAGTATCTTAGAAAGCTGAGTATTACATCATACTCACTATTAATAGATTCGTGATCATATTCCTTTTTCTTCATTTGAGTTCACTGAAGATAATGTTATAGTTAACTTTTAAAGATCATAATTATGTTGCTTCAGAATTACATCTTTGCATTTCTAGAAAAGGAACAAGTGTAGTAGATCTTTCTGGGAATGGTGACCCCTCCTCACTTTGTACTGTAATGAGAAGTGATGGGACTTCACTCTATGCAACCAGGTTTGTATCTTCTGTGAAGGTCAACATTAAAATATGTAAGTGAATTCATCTTTTTTCTCTGATTTTATGGAGAGATAATCAGCTTTATTCTTAAAATTTACCAAACTCTAATGTGTAATTCTGATTCTCATCATTCAACAACTGGGTTTCTACTTGTTGCCCATGATAGCTCCTGGGAATGTTTTTTATCACCAGGAAAGAAACTGAAAAGCTATTTATAGCTAAACATCATTGGATGTCCACAGTGAAATACTTTGTTCTATAAACTATGGAACTGGAGTATTTCATAGTCAACTAAGTAATTTGCAGTTGCATACTAGAGTATGCATGCTAGTATGCCTAATTGGCAAGAAATGCACAGTAAAATATGACCACAATGGCTTAGTGGTAGCCCCACTTTGTGAAGACCATGTCATGTGCATGCAAATACCAGATTTCATTCTCAAGTGGTAAAGAAGGCTGAGAGAGAAACAGATTCCGTTGCCTCTGTTTTGTATACCCATCTCCATGACTGTATCCAGTGAACAGGAGCAGTCCCTGTCCAGCAGTAAGAACTGGGCTGATCCAGCCTTCTTATTTACTTCTGAACAAAGCTAATGGGAAGGAAAGGACAGGACAATAAAAAAGCAACACAGGCAAACTCAGCTTTATTCAAGTACTGCTGGTGAATGTCTGGTATCTCAAGGCCAAGACCAATCTTACAGCTTAATGTGTTCCAAATATCTATCTTGAGTCTTATCCTTTAGTAATTAAACTCTTACTTACTTCGTAATTTTTGGCATTATCCTTTCTCAGTTCTATACCATTGGAATAAGAAAGTAAGAACCTAGGTATGTACATTTCTTCTAGATACAAAAAATATACAGAAAAAAAGTATATAGTACAGATTTTTGTGTGTGTGTGCCAGGTAATTGTTGCTGGACAGATTAAAAATGTGGTCATCTTCTGGTATGCATTAAAGTGCTTATAAAAAGTGTTTCCCTTCAGAACAGAGGCTCCATGTCATGCACTATCTTAATCTAGTGACTTTTTGGGGTCATCATTTGGTTTAGATTTTTGTTTTTACATTTTTTTTTTCCTTTGGGAAAAGTTTGTCTTTTTGGCCACCAGTTGAAATGTCAAATTTCACCTTCCTTTATCTTTAGTTTTGCCCTTTCAGTGTTTTCCTCATCGAATATGTCTATGTGTAAGAATGTGAATTAAAAGAATTGTAACAAAGGAAAAGTGCAGAATATTGACAAGGGAAAGAGCTGGAGACCTGCTTTGTCTAAGACCATGACCATCAACATAAATTCTTTGGGCTATGTGTTCCTACCTTATGAAATGTGAAACCTGACCTAAAAGGCTTGGCTTTTCTTCCTTCTTTCAATTCCAGTTCAGACCTAGAACTTTTTCTTTTCATTGGCTCAGTTTCTCTTTGTCTTTGATACAAATCAAAAAGATAATGCTGGTACTGGTGACTTCATTTTGGAATAATCTTCTATACGAATGCTTTATTATATAAATAATAATATTTAACATTTTATTATGTGAAATTATGTGAATATTGTATATTATCATAACTTCTCTCAGAAGCCTTTAGTCATATTTTTCTGCTTACCCACCCTTACTAAATTTTAGTACCACAAATACACTTATTTACCTATATTATGGTTTTTTTGTTTTGTTTTTTTTTTGCATCTTTGTCCTTACTATATAAAAAAGCATTTTTGTCCCTTAAGAGCCTGTTCTTGCCTCCACTGAGGTTGCTTTATGTTATGTTAGGATCAGGAGGGTGGGTCCTGTGACAGTTTGATCCCACCATTTCAAAAGATCTAGAAACTTTTAATCTTACTATCATACACTTTTAATCAGAAATAACTTAATTTTTAATTTTCAATTTTTTTAATCTTGAACTTTCATTAAACTGGGTGGCTTTTTGTTTGTTTTTAATTACCTCATACTATTTGTAAACGGGGTCTTTTGTACTGAATGAAAGTTAAGAGATCAGTAAAACTGTTATCAGTGACCTTTATGGTCTTTATAAATGCCTTAGCTCTTTCTTATGACTAGTCCAAATCTGTTCTTTTTAAGAGAATGTATTGCAAAACAAAGATAACTCTTAGACTCTGAAAACTGGAATTGCTCTCGGAGAGAATAAGATGGGAGAAGGAAGACATAAGGGAAGGAGGGTAATAGGACATCCACAAGGAGCTTTGGTGAAGAAAGAGTAAAGCATCTGAGCCCATGGAGGTGTGAAGTTACACTTCTGAAATTACAAAGTTATGTAAACAATTGGCCAATCAAAAGGTATTGCAGAAAACTGACAATTAGATGTTTTTCCAGTAGAAACTTAATTAACAAATCATAAAACATTTACTTATAGATACTTTGGAGCATTTTAGTTATAACTACTACCGTGTCCCAGGCTTTTTATTTATTTTTATTGCTTCACAGTGTTTATTATTATTACTTTGTACCAAAGTTTGGGATTAGCATTATATAAGTTTGAGTAGTTACACCTTACACTGTGAGGTAATAGGAAGTCTTAATTAGAAGAGTCTCATTATTAAATAGGTAAAACAGGTAACTACCAAGATCTGCTTGGTAACTTTTGATTTGTGGTCATTTTTTCAGAGATCTTGCAGCTGCTATAGAGAGAATGGACAAGTACAATTTTGATACAATGATTTATGTGGTAAGTAATCAAGAACAAAAGGTTATGATCCCTGCTTCATGGAAACTGCAGATAGAGGTTGATATTAGAAAACTGGAAAAATAATTTTGTCAAACTATATACAGAATGTTAAGATTTTTTTTAAGATTATAATTGACATAGTTAGCTTCAGGTGTACAATATAATAATGGAATATATATGTAGATGATTGTGATCATTTAATTATAGTTACTAAGAATTTGTCATCTTTTGGTGGTTTTTAAGTTTCACGTTCTACTCTCATAGCAACTTAAATATATTTAAGGTGATAATATACTTAAAAGAAAAAAATGAAAAAGTCCACATTGCTTCATAATTTACTAAAATCAGGAAATTGTAAAATTAAACTGTACAGGTCACTGTAATACATTTTTTAAAAGATTAACTTTATATTTTAAACATGTATGACTTATAATACATTTCAAAATAAGAATTCTAAGTACCCTTCATCTAGCTTCCCTCAAGGATAAAATCCTACATAACCATGGTACTTAGTCATACCAGAAAATTGGTAGGCTTTATTTAAATTTTGCCAGTTTTCATATCCATTTATGTGAGGATATGAGTGTGTATTGGTGGTTTTATGAAATTTTATCACATGCATAACCATTACCATATTCAGAATATAGAACTGTTTCTTCACAAAAAATCTTCCTCATGACAGCTACTTAATAGTCTCTCCTGCCCCTAAGCCTCAATCTTGGTAATAACCACTGTTGGGTTCACAGTACAGTTTTATACTTTGAGAATGTTACACAAAGACTTTTTTCACTCAGTATATATGAATGTCCTTGAATTCCAACCAAGCTGTTGTATTTATCTGTAGTCTGTTCCTTTTATGCTGAGCATTATTCTTTTGTGTTCTCTTTCCTCCCTTTCTATTTACAATCTCCCTTTCCCCTAAGGAAAAAGAAGTTGTCATTATCATTTTAGCTTGACTGTGGCCTTGGCGATAAAAGAGGAAAAAGCTGAGAAAGAATGTAAATAGATTGAGGATTAAAATTCCATATTTCTTCCTGACAGTGCAGTGCTGAGCTCTTATTTCTTCCTTTTATGGCACTCAGCTTAAAAACTCTTTGTGTGTTTATTTAAAACAAATCAATTGATAATGACTTTAGTCTGTCAAAAGTAAAATATGTTCATTTGATGCATGTCCAATCTATTTGTATAGATTATTTTAAATATGTTTTTTCTCAAGACAGATAAAGGGCAAAAAAAGCATTTCCAGCAAGTCTTCCAAATACTGAAGATCATGGGCTATGACTGGGCAGAAAGGTAATCTCTGCTTGGTTCCTAACTGTCTGCTCAGGACCATTCCTATTTCAAATTCCCTCTCTAAAAGGGAATTTTACGTACTTTGATCACCAGACCTATGAGTTTTCACTTAACTAACTTCCCTTTCCATTTCAGGTGCCAGCATGTGCCTTTTGGAGTAGTGCAGGGAATGAAGACTCGAAGAGGAGATGTCACTTTTCTGGAAGATGTTTTAAATGAGATTCAACTGAGAATGTTACAGAACATGGCTTCTGTTAAGAGTGAATTCTCTTTTTTTTGTTACCATCACAATTTATGTTTTGCTGGATTTCTATAGCTCCAATGAGCTTTCACTTACCTTGACAAAAATACTTACACTAATTAGAGGTGCCAGAACTTTTAGATTTACCACGTAGGTGTTTCTCAGTTCAGTAATCCAAATGGATGTAACCCTTTAGCACCATCATTCCATTGTTTGAGTGGTCATGCAAAGTTCCTGAGTTACATAGTGAATACAAGTCAAAAGTCCTATGGCTTTGTTTAACCTTCACCCTTGAAGAAAATCAACTATATCTAATGGGAATATTTGTAAGAAAAATAAATTTGTACTTGTTCCCTTTAATGTATGCAGGAGAAATACAATTACTTAGAGTAAATTTGCCTAAAATTAGGAAAGTAAGTTGTTCGCTGTGGACCTGCTTCTTGTTATATTCATTTTGGAAAATTTATCTCCATTTGAATTCCTGATTCTGTAGTTCCCTACAGGTTTAAGACAGCTGCCTTTGTCTGTTTCAGCAACCAAAGAACTGGAGAACCCACAGGAAACGGCAGAGAAGGTTGGGCTTGCTGCACTCATTATCCAGGTGTGTTAAGATTTCTTCCTGTGAGATCCTTTTGATTAGTACTAGAATAAATCCTGGTGCTGAAGATTTTCTCTTTCATTTTAGGATTTTAAAGGTTTACTCTTATCTGATTATCAGTTCAGCTGGGATCGTGTTTTCCAGAATCGTGGAGACACAGGCGTCTTCCTGCAATATACACATGCCCGCCTTCACAGGTGAGAAGGGACTGTCCAGATACTGAGACCACTCTGGTCTTCTGGGCAGGTATGACTGGTTGACCAAAAACCCTGTTTTCCTGGTTTCTCCAGTATCTTACATTTAAAGCTAATTAAAGTGTAGTGGAATGCCTATGTAATAATGCATTTACATAGTTTATATTAATTTAGTCTTCAGAATAACCCTGCTAAAGAATATATTTCATTTTCAGATAAAGAATTAGAGTTAGGGGGTCCTCCCTGGTGGCACAGCAGGCTAAAGCACAGCACTAAGAAGCTAAAGCCACTTCAGCATGAGTTCGAACCCCACCCACTCCGGAGATGATCCACATGGCGTGGCAGACCTTTCCTGATCTGCCCACTCCTCCCCTCAGCAGTGTACTTTGTCAGTTGGCCTGTTATGCTCTCCACTGTCTGGTGAATCCTCTCACTGCCCCTGCACCTCTTGCCGTACCCCAGTTCTGTATGCATAATCTTTTAAAAAACAAAAAAGAATTAAGAGTTAGGAAAATTGAGAGATCATGTCAAACATTACATCAGGTTGTATTTTGAGCTGATGTTCATCACTTGTGACTGTGCCCTAGCATAACTCTTGCTTAATCCTTTTTTTTTAAACTTTTGATAACAGTTTGGAGAAGACTTTTGGATGTGGTTATCTTAATGACTTCAATGCTGCTTGTTTACAAGAGCCACAATCTATTTCAATTCTCCAGCATCTGCTCAGGTATGGAGGTTTTCTTGTGTTAGCATGTCTGCTTCTGCTTCAGAAAACAACTCTCTCCTGACCGCTGCAGTGAATAGACCAGTGTCTAACTACTGCCTCACACCTCTACATAGCACTTTATTGAAGGATGACCAAAAAGTGACTATCTTTGAAAAGCAGAGGGCATGTAAAGGTTGATTATTGGGTTTTAAAAATATTAAAAATATTATCTCTGCTTAATATTAAATGCCTAACATCCTCAAGATCATGAATGAAAATGGAAAGCCTGATAGAAGCATAACATTTTAGGTTTGAAAAAGATTTCGTCTTACCTGCTATATGAACCAAAGGAAAACCCCTGCCTTTTGTGCTACCTCCTGAGACCCTAAGTCCTTCATTTCCTCTTGGTTTTAGTTCACAGCTTCAAACTCACATCTGCCTCTCAGCTCTCTCAAACTTTGTAGTCTTGTGACTAAAGAGATTAGTCTCTGGGAGGATGCTCATGGTTAACAAGAAGGCAGTTTTCTCTGATTGCCACACAAAGGTCATTGGTTCTTTTCTGGAATCAAAGGAGGAATTAATTACTGTATTTACAGTTAGCGAATTTGTGAGGAAAGTTAAGACAGTGTGCTTTTCTTAGCATTGAAGGTAGACTGTATTTTTCAGAATATATTCCTAATCATTTGTATAGGGTTTTTATATTTTGTAAATAAGTTTAACAGCCATGAATTGAGTTTTTGCTCTGGGCTATATGTAAGGGATATTGAGAATGATTAGAAATAGCTGTCATCAAAGAATTGCTGTGCAAAATGTGCCTTTACTTTCATATGTACTCAAGGCCTTTTCTCCTGTCTGTGCTACTTTTAACGATGTAACATGAATCTAACATCCAAAATGTTCTGCCTTCCTGTCTTATATTTTAGCTCAGTGTCTTCCCTGACAACTATTCTGTCATCTTCCTTTTAGGTTTGATGAGGTGCTTTATAGATCATCTCAGGACCTTCAACCCAAGCACATTGTCAGTTACCTTCTAACGCTAAGGTATTTTATCTTGCTCTTTTAAAGTATGAATTGACATTTTGAGAACTGATCTGACAAAGGACCTTTCTTTCATTTAAAGTTTTCCTGTACATAATAAGCCCCTTGACCCAAAAAGTAATATGCTTTAAGTTATAAGAATTTGCTCATCTTTCCAAATGAGCAATTAATGTTTGTTCATTCATTCAGTAAGATGTTACAGTGGTCACTACTGTCTAGTGAACAGGAACCAAAACCCTCATCTTAACTGGGTAAGTACAGCACATAAGAGTTACAATAGTGGATGTAAGAGACAATGTTTGGACACAGCCCAGCCTTGAGATCAGAAAAGGAGAAAAGGCATGTCAGAGAAAGGCAATCAGTATTAATCAGGAGAAGAAAGGTGGCAGAGAAGGGGGGGGAAGCCAAGAGTTGAATGAGAACAAAGAAATTACAAGCATAGTCCTTGGATGAGAGAGCAATACAGGCCTTTTTGCCATGTATTTAAAGCATTTAAGACTTTTTAGGGCAATAGGGTTTTCAAAAGGATTTTAAGCAGAAGCACTATAGAAATACCAGTCAGCTAGAGGATAGGAAATGATTTAAGAGGCAAGTTAAGTGCAACTTAGATAAAATTTCATGGTAGCTTTTTTAGAAGCTTTGGGTAGAATGTAAGTCAACTCTTATTTAGCAACAGCTGTATCTTCCCATAAAGCTATTTAAAAGAAAATTTTTGCTTTTATTCAATATTTACTAAAATTTGAGATTAATTAGGATTTTCTTGATTTCACTTTTACCTTTTCTTCCCAAGATTGAAATAAGATACCTTTTCCTTTAAATTCTATTTAGCCATAAAGAAGAAGCAGAAAATCTTATTAAATGTCACTTTGTCATTTCATCATTAGAACCAATAGCCAGGCATCATTTCTCTGGCAGTGTGTTCTACTTGTTTCCATTCCTTAACAGAAAAGATGCTCTAAAAGAGTGGTCAGTGTGTTGTGCAGAATGGATAATTAGTTCCTATCCCACCTCCTCACTACAGACACCTCACTAAAAGGTCTAAGAAAAAACCTTTTATCTTAATGCCTAAGTTAGGAAAAACTAACCATTGGAAAGGAACCCCCTATATTTACAAAACTAACAGTTATGAAATCATAACCTTGAGGACTGGTAGTAGCTGAGCCAGGACCAAAACCTAAAGCCTGCGTTTTACTTGTTATAGAAAGTAGTGAATTCTTTCTCAAGTTTAGATATGTCTTTTAATAGCTCTAGGCTTTGATTTGAGGGAATAAAATCATGTCTTAAGTTTATATGTTAACAGGAAGCTACAGCTGGTCCTAATCGTGACTTTTCCCTTCCATTTGCAGTCATCTTGCAGCTGTGGCACACAAAACACTGCACATAAAGAACAGTCACCCTGAAGTGGCAGCGGTACGTTATGTTAAATGTTCTCTGTATAAACTCTGTCTGCATATTGATAAAGTGTATTTTATGGTACTTGTTTAGGTAACATAAGTATAAGTGATTTGTTTGATTAGTTTTTCTAGCCTTATCCAGCATTTCCATTCAGATCTGCTGGCTAATGCTACTTAGTACTGTAAGTACTTCTAAAATAGCATCCTGGTGTTTAATTATAGCAAAATACTAGATAGACTCAATTAATTAGAATTGGACTAAAAAATAAATGTTTATAAACTTTCCAACACACTGAACATATTTTCCTATATCAAGTGTGAGTGACGGTTCACCTTAGCTGAAGCTACTGACACTATCATCAATCCATAGCTCAGTCCAATGTATGAAACACTAAGAATTTCTTCTATTGTCTGAGCACATCCTAGGGCACTTTGAGATATTGTTCCTAGTTTACATTAGAAGAAAGTTAAAAATCCTTTTTGGACGGTATTATTTATTTACATATTGCCAGCCTACTGTTGAACAGTTTCTCATTCTTTGATTTATTTTATAGGCCAGACTTCATCTTTTCAGAGCTGTCCGTTCTGTCTTAGCCAATGGAATGAAACTTCTTGGAATAACACCTGTATGTAGGATGTAATTTCTAATGAAAGTGGCTTTAAAAATACTATTACCTATTCTTATGTCTGTTGCTGTTTAGAATATAATTTAAACAATTATACTATATCCTAACCTCTCAAGTGAATCTTCAAATTATTAAATCTTTAATTTTATTAAAACATTCAGATAATTTCTTTTTAAGGATAAAGGATTAGAATTTAAACTTTAGATGAGATTTCTTAACAGTGTCATTCTCTCAGGAAAAAAAATTCTTATAAAACTAATTATCAAAGAAGGGAGGGGAAATCTAAGTTTCTTGTAATTATGTAATTTCTAAATAAATTTAATAGTGATCAAAATTATTTTTCCCAATTTAATTGATGACTACTTCTAGATGACAAGTATTATGCTTGTATTTTTATAGATATATAAAAGTAACTCAATACGTGAACTCAGAATACATTTGAAGAGCAAGGAATTACGCATACAGGTACCAATATATTGGGATATTTTCATGAAAATTAGTTCATCAGTTAAGCTATATTTGAAATTGAATTTCTTAATTTCCTACATGTATCTGCACCTTGTTAAAGTGAATACTAGTAACATTCAATATCAACATAAACCAAAGTTCTCTAGTTGAATGAACAATTTTATATTGGCAAGTATGGTGTACCTTCTTGGTCTGAGAAAAGATTCATTTATACAGTCACACTTTTAGAACAAACAGCCATGAAGTAAAAATGTACAGTTGGGACATGTAAAACAAATCCCCTTCCACTTCTTGGGATTAATGTTCCCAAATCTGTGGCTTCTACCTCTCAATTTTTGAGTCTTCAGTGAAATGATATAGGGGTAGTGATGGTGAGAGCCCCATCCTTCTAAAAGCATCTCTCTAAGAAAACTTTATTAATTCAACCTAGAATCTTGTGAGCATATAGTGCAGCCCTCTTAGCACCAGCTAGTTTTTGTTTGTATTTTACATTATGTTCATATATAAATACAGAAACTGATCAGATTTCATATAAATAAATTAAGTTTATTGCTGAATTTCCCCATTAGCATGATAGAAACATTTTTTAAAAAACACAGAAATTTCACAAATTGCTGAGTCCCACAGTTTAACATACTTCATTAAAAAAAGTACAAAAGTGACATTTAGAAAGTTTTGAAGGTCTAAAGACCAGCAAAGAAATCTGAATCCAGAGAATGAATGGCACAAATACAGCACTTGAAGGATTACTTGGTCACCACCCAGAAATCATTCTCTGCATTATGAAATAGATTCAGTTTGTTTCTGAACTAGCCTCCCTTTTATAAGAAAAAGATGAGGTCTTTACTGCCACTGAGACAAAATGCTATATGTGAATTGTTGAGCAAGAAGGGTTCATCTTCTCTGGTACCTGAACAAGAGTTCAGTTAGTAGAGAAATGGCTTTGGCACTTTCTAACTTAACATTGTCCCAAACCTTGTTACTTGAATATTGAGGTGTCACATGATTTTTCTTTTGACACCATTATCTCCATACTTCATATGTACATTTTTATATACAATGAAATAAATTCCTTCATTCTGAAACAGGTTGACCTTGAACAGGTCACATTAAATCTTTGAAGCAATTCACTGAGATGCCACAGTTAATTTGGTGTTTTTGTTGACTTAAGCTACTTTCTGGAACTGACTTAAGGCTCTAGTTTAATGAAAATAGATTAGTCTTAAAGTTCTTACTTAAGAATCTTCAAGGCTGACATCATACACCAATGACTCTCTCTTTCGATGAAGCTGTTTCTCCTTGTTGAATGGATGTAGTATCTTGTCTAGGTAATCCATAAAGATATATAGAAATACATACAAGAAGTGTACCCAAAGCAAAGGTGAGTGCTGAAAAGGAAAAAATGAAATCTGCATTGTGTCCTTAATACTAACAAAGTTCAATTTGAAAACTTTGTTGTGGAGTTACACTGCCAGATCATATGGAAAATAAAATGATAAATGACAATCACTAGTTATATACTTGCCAAGAATACAAATTCCCCCCTATGCTGATTAAAAGAAAGTACAGTGAAATGTGATTTTTCCATTGCTGTAGAGTGAAAATGTAGTTGAGCAAAGACAAGTGACCAAAGATGAATGAGGCGGTGCTTGCTTTTCTAAGTAAAGTTCCATTTTCTAGCTATCCTTGTCTTCTTTACCTTAATTCAAAAAATCAGGACACAGCTAAAAAATGGCATGCAGTGGAATGACCTCAAGCTATCTAACAGAAAGATTAGCTTTGCCTAAATAGTTTCCTTAACTGTTGGAAAACCATAACATTGAACAGAAGCACTTTCTCCTGTTCCCAATATTCCTTAAGGATTTGTTGAGCACAGGATGGATTCAAACTACAATTATAAGTGTGCCAAAATCAGGTAAGAAAAGGATCTAGAGTGGTTGGTAAGTAAGGGTTGGTCCTTTACATATGCATTATGTGCCAGGGACTATTCGAAGAACTTCACCTCAAACAACCCTAGCTGAGATGATTTTATCATTCCCATTGCTCAAGTGACACAGGTTTAGTAACTTCCTCAAGGATGCAAAGATAATAAATGGTACACATCCATTAGTAACTTCCTCAAGGATACAAAGATAATAAATGGTACACATCCATTTGAACCATACTATAAAATGTTTTTTCTAAGATTTCTATAAGGTTGATGTCCCTCTATTTGCATTTATAGTAACAGTCAATTTTAAGATGAGAGGTAATAATATTGGTTAGGTCTGTTTCTTTTACTTATATTAACTTTAATGCATGCATTACATACAGTACAACTTATGAATAAGAAAAAGACTATTACAGTGTAAATGGATCCTAAAATGTTAAGTCAATGTCACTGCTTAAATAATTCAAAAGCAAGACAGGAAACTGTAAGGACTGGCAGAATAGTGATGACAGAATGTGAACTACAGTAGCAATAGATCAGACTTATCCTCACATAAAGATAAGAAAATTTAGATTTGGATTGTAGTTTCATAACCAATTCATATCACATGTCCAAAACAGGAAGGTATAAACTAAAAGAAGTAAATGAAAGACCTTTCCTCAAACAAAGTTTATTATACTGCTGAAAGTAATGATTTCCTAAAATCCCTTGTACCTCCTTGTATTCTAATCATACTACATTCAACTAAAGCACCTGTCTTGTATCTAATACTATAGCCAGAGATCCTGGCTACAAAAGCACTTTCTAAAGAGCTAAATAGATACTTCTCCAAAGAAGACCTATAAATGGCCAGCAGATGAAAAACTCATCATGGAAATGCATATGAACCACATTCCTCACACCTGTAAGAATAGTACATATCAAAAAGACCAAATATGTGTTGGTGAGTATGTGGAGAAAAAGGAAACCACTTATATTATTGTGTATCTATTTGGAATACAGTATTGACCTTTCTCAAAATAAGAAAAATAGATCCACCACATGGCCCAGTATATTCCACTCCTAATTATCTACCAAAGAATGCAAAAACACTAATTTAAAGGGATACACACACCTACATTCCTTGTAGCACTAAATATGATAGTTTAGTTATAGAAACTAAAATGGTGTATACATATACACAATGGAATACTACTCAACTATTAGAAAAATTAACTCTTGGCACCTGCATGGAAAGAACTTGAGGGAATTATGCTAAGTGAAGTAAGTCAGAAGGGGGTGGCGGGAAATGAGGAACAGAAAAAACAACAAATAAACCCTAGAAAAAAGACTACAGAAGTGAGGCTACTAGAAGAGGAAGAAGAGCTGCAGGAGCAACAGATCAGTAGAAAATTAATGGTGCTCTGATGATAGATGCGGTGTGATAAAACACTTGAAAAGGCATGAACCTATACCCCACATCATATACAGTGTGGCAAACTAATATCTCAATAAAACAATCTTTTAAAATGATCTTCCACTGCAGCAACTGAGTAGCCTGCTCACTTTCATTAGCTCAAGCTTTAGACCCATTTAAACCTAAATACTGTTGATCCACATTTCTACTAGACATCTTTGGATTTCCAGGAATTTCCATAAACACTACAAGAACTACTATATTTAATAAAAGACTAATTCAGAGGCTCATGCTAAAACTTAATACTAAGACATACTTATCTGCAATCCAAACAGCACCACTGAAGCGATGGTAGAAAGGACAATAGCTGCTGCTGCAGAAAAGCCTTTCATGATGTTGTCTGTGTACTTGACCACAACTGAAGTATAGAGCCCTCCAACACTTGCAAAAGCTTGATTCAAAAAGAAAGAAAAATCTTAACACTTACATGAAACATTATGATGGTGAGGCAGTTTTCATCCAGAGATGGCATATTAATTTACCTACAAAATACTATTGTCCTTAGAAGCAGCCATCTGAGAGCGCTTATACTAAAATTGCATAGTTGTTTCTACAAAACATTTTTCAGATGCCCAAAGGGGTAAGTGGTCTATTGCTAAACTGTGCACATTTATTGCTATCACATTAGATACTTTGTGATTGTGAAGACAAAATTGCTTTGGGATAGCCATGCCACAAAAGTAAGTCAATAAAACAAAAATCACATTTCAAACTGATGTTCACAGTATCAAAGGAACAATTTCAAAATGCTATAAAGGATTAAAATAGCCCACAACCTTGGAAAAAAAAAAAAAAGATCTGGTGGCACAACGGGTTAAAGTACAGCACTATGAAGCTCTCCACAGCCACTGCAGCATAAGTTCCATCCCCAGGCAGGGAGCTGACCCACATGGCACAGCAGACCTCTCTTACCTGCCCACAACTCCCCTCAGCAGTGTATTTCAGTGGATCTGCCCGTTCTATTCCCCACTCTGTCTCTGGTGAATCCTCTCACCTCCCACACCTCTGGTATATACCCCAGTTCTTGTATGCATAAATAAATCTTTTTAAAAATCTACTCAGGACCTTTAATTCCTGGATACTTACAGATGACAATCCAGACATAATATGTATAACCATAGAAAAATCCTTTTTCTTTAACTTCATCTCCATCTGACAAGTAGACACCAACTAATGTCACAACAATCCCTGATAGATACATCTGAATGTTTCTCACCCAAAGGGAAGTGTCTGAACTCTTTAAAACTTTTTCAAAATACACTCCTGAAAGAAAAATTAGACATGCAAATATGAAACAAAGATAATTACTAGTAATTAATTTAAAATAATCTAGAGATATAAAATTATCTGGGGAACATTTAGGTACATATTTATTATCTTGGTTGTCACATACTGCATACTGGATATTACCAATTTTTATTACAAAGAACAAAAAATTAACTAAAAAGAAACTTTCTAATCTGTATTAAAAGGATACTTAAATTACTGTTAAGAACAGTTTCTGCCTTTAGTATAGCAGTAATGTGACTCACAAAAGCTGTTTTAGCACCAATGAAAACTTGCTTTGGCAAGTCACACCCTATGATGACTAGTAATGAAAACACCTAACTCTGCAAAATACCTATTTAATCACCACTAGGGATTTTTTTCTAACACAACTAAAATGTAAATAGACCTTCTGAAGTTAAGTCTTTTTTCTTTAAAAGGCTTCCACAAACCAAGTTCACAGACAATTTTCAAAGGACTGTGAGTTCCCAAACTGACAGTAAATTTTTTGTGTATGTGCATTTTTCTGGGGTTGAGAATCCATTTTTTTCCCTCAGATATTCCAAAGGAGCGCCAGATTCCCCTAGTAAAGTTACTATATTTAGCCTGAGGATAAACCTATAAATTTATACTTAAAATGAATGTATGGTTGGCCAGGACATTAATTACAAAGATTTCAGTTATAAACATAGAAACCAAAGGTTGCTACAATCATACAATAATCTAATAATTCTAATTAAAAGCAAGATTGTTTTTAGTGAGCCTATCAGGAAAGAACCAGAAACAAACATGGTTATTTCTATTTCACCTCTGATTTTGCTATTTAAAGCATACAGGGTCAGGTACTGTGTAGTAAGAGGCTGAACTAATAGAATGTTAGACAAACATCTAAGCCCTCAAAAATAGTATTAAAACTAAGTTTCACGTTGTTGGAAGTACTTCTAAAATACATTTCATTTCTTATTTTTACATTTAACATTCACACTTTGTCTTAATTCAGTGGAGGACTGCTTCTCCCTACACAATTCCAGACTTCCATGTTTATTTGATGTTAGTGGTTTTGGTTCTTAACAGCCAGAAAAAGAAGGGGTAAGTTATTTGTTAGGTTTCTAGGTACTCTCCACCCATCATCTCACCTCCCTACTCCATAGTTCCTAATCTGTGGAAGTGAGGTAAGGATCTGCAATAACTATAGAAAAACACAGACCAAGCTAGTAAACCCCTTAAGTAGCAGAATTTAGTTTGAAGATAGTGTCAGTCCAGGAAAATGAAAGTATTTGAGTTTCTGATGGCTAATTTCCTCCATTTTTAGAGGTCTCTTTGCATTTTTGGGGGGGTTTTGGCTGGATAAAGGATGGTCAGGGAAGACAGAAATACATTCTTAGATAACTCCCAAGTGTGAATGACCAAATCCAAACTGAGTGAACCACCACTAGGCACCCACTGAAAAACAGCTAATAAAACTATAAGAAGAAACTTTAATGGGGATCAAATTGTAGTGAAAAAAGGAGATAAACTAAATCTCTAAAGTTTGACTTTTTCAACAAACATTTGACACTACATCCTGTTATGATTTACCTGCAAATCCTGAGCACAATACAGCAATAGCTATAGCGCCAAATCCTAATAATGGATTCTGTTCCACCTGTAATGGTAATGTTTTAAAAGTTATTTTTGGTAACTAATAAATAGAATTCGTCTGAGAGAACAAATGAAGACAAAAATTGGTTACAGTTCTTCCGCTAGTATGTGCTGTATCAGATAAAGCTATTCTACAAAATAAGATAGAACCAAACAAAAGACCATCCTGTTGTGTAACCAAAGCACTGAAATTAAAAACATGCATTGCAAATGCTTAATATGTGTGCTTATTTTGGAAGCATGGAATTTTCTACCTCACCTTCTTGACTGCCACCACCCTAACTCAAACTCTCTCTCCTGGAAAAAGTAACTTGTTTTATTTCTGATCACCTAAAGAATGAAGTAATGATTACGGAGATTTTCACTTCTTAAAATTTTTATTAAATACTATTACTGTAACTGCCATGCACCAAATATGCCATTGTGTACTAAAGGAATGAAGATGACAATGACACACAGCTGGGTAAGATTGACAGCTATCGTAATACTGTGCCAACATATATATTAGACCCAGTCTATCATTTCAACTTTATGTCATCTTTCTTCCCTACATTATTCCTCATGAACTTTTTTTTTTTTAAGATTTATTTATTATTCATACAGATCCGGGTACAGGCCAGAGATGCGGAGGGTGAGAGGATTCACCAGGGATCGAGTGGGGAGCAGAACAGGCAGATCGACGGAGTACACTGCTGAGGGGAGCAGCGGGTGGGTCAGGAGAGGTCTGCCGGGCCATGTGGTCACCTCCGGGGCAGATGGGGATCGAACTCATGCGGAAGTGGCTTAAGCTTCTTAGTGCAGTGCTTTAACCCGCTGCACCACCAGGGAGGGCCTCCTCATGAACTTTTATCAGAAATGAATAAGGACTAGAAAGATCTTAAAGGCCTGACCTTTTGCCCAAAGTTAACAAGCTAAGTTTAATAAATACTAACACATCCTGTATTTTGATCTAGAAGCAGCCCATAGCATAAGATACATTTGAGACATACTCTGAAATAGCTACATATAGTTGTATATAAACTTATGGAATAGATGGCCTCCCCCCTCAAAAAAAAAAACTAATTATATACTGATTTAAAACAAATCTCTAGTATTCAAAACAAAGGAAGTAATTAGAAAGTTTTGGCTCACACAACTCAGTCAACATTGGAAGACAATGTGAACCTTTGGACACAGAAAAAAACAAGTGAATACATCTAGACGAGAAATACCAGGCAACTGGTGCATGAGGCAGGGATGAGGAAATCTCTAGAAAAAATATTATATTGAAAGAAAGAAATTTTGAGGATGCCTCAATGACGTGAGAATGGGGATGATATTGTCCTCAAACATTAAAGGATCATCAATTAGAGTTTGTAGGGATTTGAGTTACTCTGACAAGATCAGTAAGATGAAGTTTTAGGAAGCTGCATTCTGTTTATAATATGAAATAACTTCTAGAGTGGTTCAAAAGTACCCTACACTTTAAGCTTACTATGTTTTTTATACATGTAACTATATGAGAGGAACTTAAATTTTTCTAATAATATTTGTCTTATTTGCCACCACAAATTATGTCTCTGCAGGTCTATAACTGAGTTAAACTGTACACTGCCTACTTGACTTGAAATGTCACCAAGAGTGTAAGCATGCTTAAATATCATGGGAAGGGCCTTCCCTGGTGGCGCAGCAGGTTAAAGCGTAGCACTGGGAAGCTTAGCTTAGGCCACTTCTGCATGAGTTCGATCCCCGCCTGCCCCAGAGGAGCTCCGCATGGCATGGCAGACCTCTCCTGACCCACCCGCTGCTCCCCTCAGCAATGTACTTCATCGATCTGCCTGTTCTGCTCCCCACTCTGTCTCTGGTGGCTCCTCTCACCCTCCGCATCTCTGGCCTGTACCCCAGTTCTGTATGAATAAATCATTAAAAAATTTTTTTAAAAATATCATGGGAAGAATATATATTAATCTACGATTCAAAAAATTCTCTAACAGTAACTACTTAAAGAGGAATTGTCTTCCTATATTCACAAGTTCTCGGTACATCCCAGCTACCTTATACTCCAAGAGGGGTCTTCAGTTGTAGAGAAAAACTGACTTTCAGAAAGACATTCACTGTAGTTCTACTTTCTACTTCTCTGGAAAATGAATGATTAAAGCATCTAATACTAAAAAAAGCAGGTTAACATTTAACGGCCAAAAAACAGTTTTAAGTCAAGGGCACTTTTGCTCTATTTTAGTTATCAGTAAAAACACTGTTCCCCAATAACCCTGATCACTGGCAGAGGTTGTATGTGCAAACAAAAAAAGCTTTATAAGTTGAGTAAAATGGTGAGAATTAGATGTTCCTAAGGGAATGTTTTAAAAAGGGCCTAGAAGTTCTGTAAGTACACTGGTGAAGTGGGAGTTGGCACCATTTCAAGTCACAGCTGAGCTACTAATTCACTTTGGACAAGTTACTTCTTTGGTCTTCAGTTTTGTCATCCATAAAACAAAAGAAGTAGACTACATTAAGTTATCTTCAATCTCTAATATTTTATGCATATTCTCTTTAAAAAAAAAAGCCAATAAATATGATTATCCTTAATTAACATCTTCCTAAGGGAGAGAAAAGTGTATCCATAGGGCAAAGATTACTTTAAATCAAAGACATGCAATTGTGCTGCATTCTATATGACTGAATTTATAAGACTTAAGGTAGTTTACTATTTACTTGTAATAGGCATTTTGTTTCTTACCGTGACTTTTGTAGCTTGGGCTGGTTTCCACTGTACAAGTGTAACTCCACCACACAGCATAAAAACTGAAATCCACTGTAATTTGCTGAGTGTCCGGTTTAACATTAAAACAGTACATAAGGCAGTACAAGGAATCTTCAACTGGTAGGTCACCTAAAAACAAAACAATGAATTAATAAACTGTTACATTCATTCTGACACAAATACAGCTGATCTTTGAGCAACATGCATTTGAACTGCATGGATCCACTTATATGTAGATTTCCTTGTAAAAAGATGACAAACTTATCAGTAAGTATAGTATAGTATTATAAATGTATTTTCTCTTTATTTTTTAATAGTGTTAAGTTTTGAGGGAGTCAAAAATTATACATGGGTTTTGAACTTGATGAGGAGTAAGCATCCCAACTCCAGGGGGTGTCAAGCTACCTACCACTCTATACACGATTATAAACGCAACTCAAATTCACAAGGATAGAAAGATGAGCAAAAAATAACAAAATCCTGAAAGTTAGAAAGCAGATGAACAAAGAAAAATTGATTTCATAGACCAGATAGTAGAATTCTAACTAGCAGTGGTGAAGAGTGAGAACGGAGAACGATCACAACTTACACAACAAAATCTTTACAAGTCCCAGCAATAAACACTTCTGCAACTAGGTGTGAATGAAGGTTGGGTAAAATAAGGGTTGGTTCCATTCTATTTAGGAAACAAATACAGAGATGCTCCTCTCCTATCGATTTTCTTTATCCCCACTGAAGACTGGAAGCTTTTTTTTTTTTTAAATATTTATTTATGCATTGGTACTGGAATAAGAATAGACATACAGTCCAGTGGATTCGAACAGAATACCCAGATACAAACCCACAAGTTTATGGATAGCTAATTTTTGACAAAGGAGCAAAGAAGATACAATGGAACAAAGAAAGTTTGTTTAGCAAATGTGCTGGGAAAACTGGGAAGCTACATGCAAAAAAATGAAACTAGATCACTGCCTCACTCCAGTCACAAAAATCAACTCCAAGTGGTTTAAAGAACTAGACGTAAGAACAGAAACCATAAAATACCTGGAAGCAAAGATGGGCCAAACACTACAAGACATACACTTCAGCGACATCTTTAAAGGTAGAGCACCCAATGCCACAATAGTGAAGGCAAGGATAAATAGATGGGACTAAATCAAGTTAAAGAGCTCTGTACAGCAAAAGAAACATTACAAAAAACAAACAGACAGCCCACTAATTGGGAAAACATTTTCTCACACAAAAGCAATGATAAAGGACTGATCACAAA